GAAGCTGGGACTGGGGGTGTGACAGAGTCCCTCGCCCAGGAACTCACGCCAACAGCTGTGTCAGCACCTGGACAGCGACCACGGTGGGAGCCCCAGTCCAGAAGTGGATGCACAGGCCAGTGTGGACCAGTGGCGTCATGGGCTCTGCCACAGAGAGAGAGGCGTCGCACCACCCACAGGCCCCCCAGGGGGACGGGCCGCAGCAGAAAAGCAGCGTCCTGAGGACCTGAGAGTGAGACGGAGCAGTACTCAGGCTGCGAGCAAGGACCCCCAAAGGCTTTTGCTGTTTCAGACCTTCACAGGGACGAAGCTCCCTTGCCTGCAATGTCCAATGGGAGAAGTGCTGACGGAAAAGGAAAAGGAAGACTGTGGGAGTCAGGAACTGGACAGGCAGGTTCAGCGCGGCCCAAGAGAGCGCTGGAAGCCAGCAGGCGGGTGCAGAGCGGCCCCTGCCTTGCACAGGGAGGTGCCAGGATGAAACCACCAGCAAAGCTGAGAGGCGGTGACTCCAGCTCCCAGTTAGAGGGGTGGGGAGAGGCCAGAGGAGAAGCAGGAAGACGGCTCATGTGCAGAAACAGGCTGTGGCAGGGGTGGCTGTTTTGGAGGAGCACGTTCTGCCCTTTGACAGCGGTGACGCTCTGCTGCACCCCCCCCCCCCACTGCCACCCTGTGCCGCGGCCTTGCTCGAGGAGAGGCGGCCCGGTCAGCACCCTGCCAATGTCTCTGCAGACCAGCTGATGGGGGCAAGGCTGTGCCCTGCCACATGGGGCAGGGACCGTGGTCCAGGGAGAAGCAGCTTGGGACCATGGGAACGTCACTGAATGTTTGGAGCCGGGACAGTGCTCGTTCAGTGTCCTTTTTAGCAGAAACTGAGCTGAGAAAAGGTGGAAAACAAAACAAAGTCTGTGTGCCTTTGCGGCGGGGCACTGCGTCTCGGTCAGCATCGGCGCAGCTGGAGGAACACCAACCTGGACGGCCTGCGGGCGGGGCCCTGTCACTGCCGGGATGCAGGGGAAGTGCCAACCAAGTGTCGCCTTCCTGCAGTTTGGGGAGAGTGTTTCATCCGAGTTTGCCCATGTGTCTGCAGCTGTGGCTGCCCGAATGGCATTCTGTGCCCAGCCGGGTGGCTCGGCACCGTCCCAGCATCTGCATCTCGGGGTCTGGGGAGGTGGCCCCCTCCCGTCTTTGTAACCACGAGCGCAGAGCTCTGCGGCCTCGTCCTCATCCTGTGCACCAGGCCAGTGCAGGCCTCCAGGCGACGGGCGTCCCAGTCCCCCGCCCCGGCTCCTCTTGCTTTGGCTCCCTGTTTGCCCACCCCTTCTTTGATGATGGGGGGGGAGCACCGAGCCACTTCCCCTGCACATCTCGTCAGCGACACGGCAGAGGGGCAGCGCAGCTGGTGGAGTGCTGGTGCCTTGTTCCTTCTGGGGCTGGGATGCCCACCTCGCTGTCTTGTCTAGTGGGCCAGTGCTCCCTCCTCGTCGCCTGTCACCTAGTCCGGATGCCCAGGAGCAGGGTCAGCACAGGGTCACTGCAGCAGCAGGTCTCGGGTACATGAGTGCTATGGCCTCCTGCCCTGTGTGCGCATCCTCTCTGAATCCCCCCCACGGTCCCCTGGGCCTATGAGTCCTGTCTTCCCCACCGAGTCCAGCCTGTCACCTCGGCTGACACGGGCCATGCTGTCTGTGTGGATCAGTCCGAGTGCGCCCTGCACAGGAGGGCTCCTTGCTACCCACAGGAGAGTCCAGCCTGTAACAGCCTTGAGGACAGAGGGCGCCACCCTACCCGGCATAGGCCTGGCCGCAGGGGCCCTCGGAGGTGGTGGCTTGCTTCTGGGGCTCCGTCCTGGCTGTGCTCCAGGAGGCACCTCGGGGTCTTTGGGAAGCCCCCTTGCTGCTTTGTGTAGGAAGTCCCAGTGGCGTCCCCAAGGCCAGGACTGCCGGGTCTTAGGGCTGCAGGTGTGAGGGTGGCTGTGGAGCCAGCGTCTAAGAATGCCCCTGCGTGGTGAAAAAGCAGCCGGTCCGGGCGTGTATGCAGTGCATCCTGGAGAGGCTGTGCCTGTTCGCTGAACAAAAGCATCAGAAAGGTTGCCCGGTTCTGCCTTTCCCACAGCCGGCTCTCCCTTCCCAGTCCCTTCCTTCCCTGTGCTTTCATGAGGTGGCACCTTCCTGAACAGGTGGACTTGTGTTCCTGTGAGACCGATGGACGACCCGCATTTTTAACACCAGGTGTGATGTAACTTCACAGAATGAAGCCCCTGCCTTCATGGAGTGACACCTGCCCACGGTGGGAACACAGGCCACATGGGAAGGTTGGCGAGGAGCGTTTGGTGTGTGAGCGGGCGTGTGGCTCTTCACACGTGTGTCTAAGAGCATGTCTGGCTCTCGGCTTTCATGTGTCGCTTTATTACATAATTTCAAAGCCACAAATGGTGGAACTGTGACTGTTTTTCAGCCCTTTTGCCATTTGTGAGACTGAGCTGTGTTTGGCTGGCCAGTCCTGCGGCGGCGTTCCCAGAGGCCCCGAGTTGTCACTCCCTGTCCTGTGACAGCCCCAGGGGGTGAGGGGCTGGGACTCTCCCTTTCTGCCCTGAGGTGAGTCCCTCCTGTGCTGATGGCAGAGCCGGCCAGGAGCCGGCCTCCTGGTGGAAGCTGCTGTTTCTCTTCATGGCTCTAGAAACGGTGAGGTTGTCTGTGTCGGATTGCTGGTCACGGCATATTCTGCACATTGCAGAGTTTATGGGGGTTTCTCCCCACCAGTGACGAGAGCTGATCTGGGATGTGCTCCCTCCCAGGTAGCTTTGCTCCCCGCTGTGCAACTGCTCTTTCCTGGGACTGCCCAGCATGTCCCTGCCACTGTCAGGACGCTCTGCAGACAACACGCACAACACACTCCCTGCGAGGCTGTCCCCCCTTCCTGGCCACTCAGGGGAAGCCCCAGGACCCCTCGCCCCATGAGGGGGCCAACCCCACTTGTGTCAGGGAAGCGTGTGTCATGGTGGCACTCCCTGACGGTGGTGAGGGTCACTGGTGCCCACCCGCTCACACAGGCCCACTGGCAGACTCTGCGGTAGCAGAGTGGGCAGGGCAGGCAGAATGTTTGTTCGGCCCTTTCAGAATTATTTTTGTAATGGTATGACAAGATTTCCCAGGATGGAGCCTTTGCAGCTGAGAAAACAGTCGCTGCTTTGAAGCAGTTTTCCCAGGCACAGAGCTTGTCTCCTGCTGTTCGCAGCGTAAACAGTGTCTGGTCTAAGTCACCATTCCTGTGGTCAGTTTCAGCAGCGTAAGGCGCCCTTGCCTAGCCTCCCGGTCCCATCTGGGCGTGGCACTGCTTTTGGCCCCGCCCACCTGAGCGGGTGTGTTGTGGCTGGCAGGATGTCCTGCCTGGAGGCCGCCAGCTCTTGCCTGTACTCGTATGTAATACCCTTAAGGCTGAACACCACAGGGAGGCCAGGTCCCGGCCCCCCGCCGACCCTCCGGTGTGGCCTGAGCGGTACTGCCATCCTCACTGGGCACAGCGACCATGCCAGCCCGCCTTCACGCAGTGCGAGGTCACGGGACATCGTATGGAACTCTGCGCTTTGTGGCTGTGGGATGTCAGCTGTGAGCGGGAGTGTGGCAGGTGCCGGTGCAAGGGCTCCGTTTGCGAGAGAGGTGCTCAGCAGCTGTTGTAGGAACAACCCAGGACGTGGGCCTGAGGTGAAGCTTTGCAGCCACGTGCCAGTGAGGGCAGAGGCCTGCCACTGCGACCCAGGACAGGTCCTGAAGTCCAGCGCCCGACATGGGGCGGGCATTACTCACAGTCCGCAGCAGTGGGGCCGGGCTGGGGCAGCCATCCACAGGTTGTCTGGGGTCCCAGCTGCATGGTCAGAGGGACCCCCCATGCCCCACCGCACATGTCTTCATTCCGGGGTGGGGTGGACCACGTGAGGGCTGACAGCTGCGCTGTGATGTAGGCGGTCTGGAAGCTGCACTCGCCCGCCAACCACACCTTCGAGTCAGGTCCAGCTGTGGGTGGGGCCTGGGTGGCCCCCCAGGGGCAAGAGGGGAGCGGGCCCTGGGGTGGGCTTTGTCACGCAGCCCTGTCCTCGTCTTCACTTCTCTCAACTTTTGGCAGACACTGTGTTCCAAGGCCCCTGCCCCAGCCCGGTTGGCCACTTCTCCAGGGCAAGGGGTTGGAGACTGGGGGCTCGCTGCCCTTTGAGCAGACAGAGCTATGGACCTGTGCACTTGTGTGGTTGTGTGTCTGCATGCTCACTGCGTGTGTACAGGCATGCACTCTCACACCTGGGGCACACTGGTGTGCACACACCGTGCTCTGCCATGTGCTCCAATGGTAGAAATCTCCGAGTCAGAAGGCCCCTCAGCGCCGTCCGGGCCCACTGCTGCTCCTGGCCACCCCGTCCGCCCGGCCTGCATCCCCAGTGCCTGCGCAGGTCTAGAACATGGAAGGGCTCACGGAACACCACCCTCCCTCTCGGCAGAGGTCTGCCTGCAGGCTCAGGGCGGGGCGGGGCCCACGCCCGTCCTCACGGAGAGCGTTCAGCACAGAGAAGCCGGGCCACAGGCGGTGGTGCTTGTGGCTCGGAGCCTGTGAGCAGGGCCAGAGGGCTGGGTGACCAGAAGCAGCAAAGCAGGCAAAGCCTTGGTTTTACCCTGCGCTGCTCCTGCCGGAAGTGGGGGGATTGGCCTCGGCGCTCTTCAGAAGGTCTGCACGTGACTGAGTGGGCCGGCTGCGCACGGAGCCCCCACTGTCTGTCTCAGACGGGAGCTCCAGGGTCTCGGTACAGGGTCTCCGAGGCTCGGAGGCCACCCCTTGGTCCAGCCTCTGGTTTGTCCGGAACCCCTCGCCTGCACTCGCCCTTCCTGGGACCCTGCATGCTGTCCATCTGTCTTGCAGGCCCTTGGGGCAGCTCTGCCCGGCTCTACAGGTCAGGGCGTGGGCTGTGCCAGGTCAGAGGCAGGAGCCAGGCCCAGCCTGTGTGACCTGTGCCTCAGGCAGGTGCCTGCTGGGGAGGCAGTTCAGAAACAGGAGGTGACTTACAAGGGCAAGAAGGACACACTTGTCCTGTGGGGTTTGAGGTGGACCCAGGACCCCAAAGGGAAGCTTTCTCAGCTGCAGCTTGGGGAAGGGCATGGACATCTCAGCTGGACACAAGGAGGGGCCCCAGGAGCCCTGGAAGGCACCTGCTGTGCACCGCCCACGGTGGGTCTGGTGCGCCCTGCGGAGCGGCCGGGCCCGAGCCCACAGTGCCCAGCTTCTCTGCGGTTCGCTCCCCTCTGTTGGTGCCAGGGGTCGAGGAGGCCGTGGGGAAAGCACTCGGGCTTCGAAGCTAGAGACAGGGCAGCTCGGGCTGCGTCCTCATTGTCTCAGGGTTCTAGCAGCCACAGACGTGGCCTCACCCTCCAGCACGCCATCATCACCCCGGCCCTCCCCATCACAGCTGTCAGTACAGCATCTTCATTGCCCCTGTTCGAGCTGCATTGGAGTGGGGAGTGCATGCGGCGAGCCCCTTGTGTGGTTGGGCGCACGATGCCGGAGCCCGTCTGCGCCCACGCTCAGTGGGGGACTGGGGCCCAGCACGCACCCTGTGCGATGGCCCCACCTGCTCTGACAGGCATGTGCTTGCAGCAGAGCTGTGGAGGGTGGAGCAGAGGGAGCATCTTTCAGAGAGGGGGGTGACCCCATGCCCTCCAGGAGGGCCTGAGAGGCCGGAAGGGGGTGTGGGCACTCTTCCCAGGAAGTCCCCCGCCACCAGCTGGAGGAGGGCTGTTGAGGAGGGGCTCCCCATGCTCCTGCTTGGACATGAGCCGGGGTGCTCATGCAGCCCACGGGGCTGTGGGAGGGTGTGAGCCAGGGAGACAGCACCGCTGCAGGCTGGTGAGCGCACATGTGTGCAAGGGGCAGGCGCCTGCTCTCTCAGAGACCTGTGTTCACACAGAACCACTGAAACAGAAAATGGCTTGTTCCAGGACGGGCAGCCCTGCCTGTGCGGAGACCCTCATGCCTGGGTAAACTGGGCCATTTTGGGGGAGCTGCTGGGAGGTGGCCCGCAGTGGCGTGGCCGGGCAGGAGCACCCCCGCCACGTTCAGGTGGGAAAGGGAGTCCGAGCCTGCTGCTCTGTGAGTGCTTTGAGCCAGTGCAACACTGCGGCTGATGCTGACAGGTGGAGCCTTCTGGAAAAGCAAGGGCACCTGGAGCATTCGTGCCGGAAGCTGGTGCAGCAGGTGTCAGACCCAGGGATGCCACTTTGTCCAGGGGCTGCGTTTGACGCTGGGCCTTGAGCATGCTCGCTGCAGGGGGCCTGGAGGGCCCGGGGGCTCTTTTTGCTTGAGAGGAAGGAGTGGTTCTGCTGCCCAGGCCTGGGGAGGCCCCCACCCCGGCCAGCTCAGGAACCCTTGTGGGGTCTAGAAGAACAAGCACACATGCGGAACTGACAAAAGCTGAATACTGCTGGCAGCTGTTAGCCGTCACATGTTTACGTGTTAATGAGAACTGCCGATGTGTTCGTCATTCCCACCGTCCCCATGCATGCGGGAGTGTCCTGCCGTACCACCTAGCCGCCCATCAGTGCCGCTCCACACACATGCAGGGCAGAGACACCGTTGGCACACAGGCACTGTCTTACTGGGTACCACATGGGGTGGCATGGGCCTGCCCCTGGAGAGGCACCTTCCCAGCCCAGGCGGCCGCCTGCTGACTGGGGGTGCTCACGCGTGACAAGTTTGGGACTGTGGGCATGGAGGCAGTTCCAGGGTCTAGTTCAGACCAGTCCCCAGCCCTCGTTTTCCCCAGGGTGGCAGACCCATGGCACATCTGCCTTGAAACTGGGACCCTGCACCCAAAACACCCCTCCATGTTTGCTCTCGGTAGCCCACATCAGCAGTGACTCTGCATGATGCAGTGCAGGGAGGACATGCAGGCCACACTGGTCCCCAGTCCCAGCTGTCACCCTGTGACCTGCAGTCGGGAGTGGGGTAGGTGGGCACATCTCTGTGCAGGAGCAGCGTTGGCGGCCAGTGGGGGGCCGAGAGCCCAAGCAGGATGCTTGAAGGCAAGTCTGTGCCAGTGCTCTGCTGAGTCCTGGCCCCAGGGCAGTGCTGTGAGCCGGCTGGAACCGCAGGTCTATGCCACACTGCTGAATCTCACCTCTGGCTGCTCGGGGCTGTCTGGAATGAAGGCCTTCAGGGCCGCGTGACAGAAACGATTCAGAGCCGACACATTTGTTTTCTGCTCGATGTACAGCCTCAGCTTGTCTCTAAAGGTCTCTCCCAGGAAGCTGTAGATGAGGGGGTTCAGGCAGCTGTTGGAAAATGCTGCAAGGTTGACGATGTGGCCGGTGAGAGGGTAGGCGTGGCGGAAGGACTGCTGGCAGGGCGAAGCCCCAGGCGGCGTCCGCTGCAGGAGGTGCACGCTGATGAAGACATTCTCAGGCAGCCAGCAGACAAAGAAGACGAGGACCACGGCCACGATCATCCGTAGGGCCTTCTGCCTCCGGGGGCGCAGGCCCCGGTGCCGGTGAGCCTGGACAAGTGCCCGAGCGATGAGGGAGTAGCAGAGGCCGATGATGGCAAAGGGGATGATGAAGCCCAAGGTGACTTCCAGCCACTGCACCTCCTTGACGTCCGCGAAGCAGAAGCAGACGTCGCCGGTGTGCTGTAGGTGCACAGCGGTGAAGGGCAGCAGGGTGGCAGAGACCGAGGCCAGCCAGATGAGGCCGCAGCTCAGCCTGGCGTGATGCTTGGTGCGGAACGGGCCGCAGCGCACAGCCCGGGCCAGTGCAAGGTAGCGGTCGAAGCTCATCCAGGTGAGGAAGAAGATGCTGCTGTACATGTTGACCTGCAGGAAGAGGGACATGAAGGTGCACAGCACGGCGATGTCGTAGTACTGCTCGTCCAGGTTGAACACCTCGATCAGGGAGTCGGCCACCAGGATGAGGTCTGCCGCCGCCAGGTTGATGAAGTACAGGTCGGGGACGGTCATCTTGTCTCGGAATCGGATGTTCACCACCAGGATCAGGATGTTGCCCACGAAGCCGATGGGGAAGAGGAAGATGGTGTAGAGGCAGGACAAGAAGAGCCCCACGGCGTACTGCTGCTGCACCGGGAGCTCACCCGTCCGGTTCGCCAGCACCTGGGCGGCCATCACGTGGGGCGGGTTGAACTCCGTGGGGGTGTCGTTGTGGGGGCCGGGGCTCGTCTCCATGCCAAAGGTGGGCGCTCAGGAAATCACACGTGTGTCTGCACCGGACGCAGCCTCCCAGACCTGCCTCTGGTCTCGGAGAGGCCCGCCTCAGCCTGCAGGCCTGTCTTCCAAAAGGGCGGTCCCGCTCTCTGCACGGGGCAGCCCCGGCGCACGCCACCGCCGGACGCCACCCCCGAGGACACCTGGGGAAGCAGAGGGGAGCGTGAGCCTTTCCTGACTTTTCATTCCTCGGGGCCAGAGCACCACAGAGTTGTGGGGTGGCACTGCCTGTGTCGGGACAGGCCACACAGGGCTTTCGTCACCTTGGAGGGACAGCAGTCAGCCCTCATTTCTGTGCTGAGGCCGAGAAATCAAATGCGGAAACTGCCCGCTCCCTCTGCTGCGAGGGCTCCCGGAGCCGCGGGGTCTGAGCTGCAGGTGGCAGTGAATCAGCCTCGCCCTGGATGCTGTTTTAGCCGTCGAATTGCAGGCATGTGAGGTAATGCGGATGTTGGGTTTGGAAGTCTTAGGAAAACTACTGTCTGTCGGGGAGGAAGTGACATTTATCTCAGCAGCTGCTGCAGAGAGGAGTGAGCGCGAGGGAAAAACCCAGCTTGTCTGAGCGGCAGTGGGCCCAGGGCGCCTCGGGACTGGAGCAGGGCCTTCTCCCCAACAACAAAACGGTCAAAGAAACCTGGCTTTTTGCCAGTCCTAGTACTAAGTGTAGATGCCACAAATGAAGTTTTTTTCTCATATTACGGCATGAAGGTCAGAGAATGAGGAATGAAAATGGTAATTATTTTAGGAAATACAATTGAAATTTACTTAATGTTTCGACAAATTATTGTCAAACATATTGTCATCACATATACTTCTGTGATGCTGTTTGTCACCTGGACACTTGGTCACCTAGACAGCCGGTGAGGAGAACGTCCTTCCAGTTCACCGCTGCTGGCTAACTGCGGCCATGCCGCTGTCGAAACTGGGTTTCTGGTCTTGGGCCACATTTCCCCAAGGGACGTCCCCACCCCTGAAGTGCTCTGTGGTGTCAGCCAGGGACACCGGCAGTGTCTGGATTTGGGTTGTCACAGTGGGGAGGGGGCGCCATGGGCAGCAAGGAGGCCCTGCAGCCCACAGGACGCCCCCGCCCCACCCCAGGGAGGCTCCAGCCCCGAAACCCACAGTGGCTGAGTGGTGATGCTAAAATGGACTTGAATTGTTTTTTCATTTGAGATTTTTCATTTCATTCTGTGAGGCAATTAGTAACCTTTTTTTGAAGTGTTGCCAAACCAAGCTAGACATTTATCGACTATTGCTCGGAAATGCGACTCAGAGAAAAAGAAGCAGACCGACCACGCCTGTGACGTCAGTAATCACTTTAGCGTGTTCAGTGCTCTCAGCTCGCTGGGGTTGGTGGGCTCCGTGTTAGAAGCCTCTGCATTTCACTTCTTTGTAAAAGCTGCTCGGCCTCTTTGCTTTTTGCTCTCCGAGGGGGGAGGTCCTGGCGCGTCTCGTGCAACACGGAGAGGGAAGCTCACAGGTGAGGCTGCAGCCGCCACCGGCCTCTCGCCCGAGCTGGTGGCAGAGGCTGCGAGGGAGAGCTCCCGAGCCCTCTACTCTCCCCATGTGAGTGGAGTCTCCCCTCCCCGACAGATCCCATTCGTGGTCTAAGGCAAAGGTACAGGAACTTAGGGTTGGTCTCCTGCTGACGCACTGTCCTCAGCAACACCAACCACAGGCCGTAAAGACTTAGGTCAGCATTAGGCGGTCTGTGGTCACCTTGTTTCCAATTTCCACTGCTAGTCCAGATCTAAAGACGCTTGGCTGGGCGTTGTCCCCAAACCCGAAAGGTTGCAGGTTTGATTCCTAGTCAGGGCACCTGCCTAGGTTGCAGGTAAGGTTCTTCACTGAGGCAACCGAGTGATGTTTCTCTCCCTCTTTCTCCCCCTCCCTTCTCCCCTCTCTGAAATCAGTGAGCAGGTCTTCAGGTGAGGAGTGAAAAGAGAGAAGACCACATTTTTCTCAGACCCTCTAGGCATGTGTCTGTGTTCAGGAACAGCAATCATTGTAAGTTCCGGGGCAAGTGAGGACCAAGGGCGGTGCTGCAGGCAGAGCTGGGGCAACCTGTCTGTCCCGCAGGGTACTGGGTCCTTGCCGTGGGGCAGCCTGGGGACAGCGTCCTCAGTGTCCTCCTACAGGGAAGCCCAAGCACCAGTCCTGCCCTCCGGCACCGGCACTGAGTCGGGGCTTTCTGGCAGGAGCAAGGGTCTGCCTGGAAGCCGGAGCCTTAGTCCCCTGTCCCGGCCGGTGCCCGGTCTGCCCATGTCTGTGTCCAGCTGTTACCCTCAGCAGGCAGCTCTCCGTCCAACCTGAAGGCAGAACCAGGACCCCAGGACGGACTTACCTGTGCCGCAGCCGGTATCTGGCCTGGTGTTTTCTCTGGGCAGACCCTCCTCGTGGCCTTCGGGGTCTTCTGGGGCGGCCTCAGAAAGTGCTCTCGGGGCGCTGGCCCCATGTGGAGGCAGAGGCCTGCCTGCCACTCTCTCTGACAGCAGACGAGTTGCCCTGCAGCGGTGGCGGCGGTGGCGGCAGCAGCACTGGCACCGAGCAGCTTTATAGGCCTCCCGGGGCCGCCCACCCTCGGACAGGGTGGGAGGGCCTCCCCCGGAGGCCGAGTTAACCCCTCCCTGCCGCCTTCTTCCTCCCACACAGCCCGGTGAGCTCAGTGCTGCTGAGTGTCTTCAAGGAGGTTCCAGTTCAACTGCCTCCTTCACCCACTGAGACCATTCTCAAGTTTGAAGGGATTGTAAATAGATCTTGTTCATCCTTTAGATGATAACCTATCATCATTTGTTGAAACTTTAAATATTCTTGCTTGTTTTAGCAACTGACTGACCTTAAAACTAAACACCAGCCCTGGCTGGAACAGCTCAGTGGGTTGGGCGTCATTCTGCAAAGCGAGTCGCCCCGGGGGTTCACTTCCCAGTCCAGGCACACGCTCTGGCTGCAGGCCAGTCCCAGGTCGGGGCGTGTGCGAGAAGCAGCCAATCAGTGTTTCTCTCTCACACGGATGCTTCTCTCTGTCTCTTGCTTCCTCCCTCCCCTCTCTCTAGAAACAAAGTCTTTTTAAAAAATCCCTTAAACACTCAGTTCTCTCAGTTTAGAGAGTAGCATGTGAATTATACAGAGACTTTAACCTAGGACTTTCACAGATGTTTGCAGAGTGAAATTTAAACCCAAGAAATAGCAAGTAGTTCAGCAAGGAACTCAGGAGTTAGAGTCACTTTCTGCTCTCATTCTTGACGGCGTCAGCCATGCCTCCGCTCCCCCTTCCCCGCCCTCCTGAAGCCACCAGCGTGCACTTGTCTGGCAGGTGTTGGTGGCAAACCGGAGAAGCCTCCTCCTTCTGTGGCCCCCACCCTGCCCCTTGGTGCCCAGCGCCTGCCTGTGTGTCGGGGGAACTTAGTCCCCGGTTCCCAGAACCCACCTGCTGGTGGTCGGCATTGTACCACTGGCCAGGAGAGGGGCTGACGTCCCCAGACGTCCCCGCGGGCCTGCGGTTCGGAGCCGCACCACGTGTCGGTGGACCTCGCGCTCCTCACAGTGTCGTCTTCCCACCGTCTTAGTTTGCTGGGACTGCAGGGCTGAGGTCAGGGTGATCTTTTCGTTGCCGCGTCACCAGCACCCTGAGCCAGGGTGTGTGCTGCCCAGGGACACAGGCCACTCCTGTCCGGAGCCCCAGTTGCTGGGGGCCCAGGGCCGCCAGTGTCCTGTTCCCTGCAAGGCAACTGCAGACGAACCAGGCAGCGAGCTGAACGGCGTCATGGTGACTTTCAGAGAAGTGTCTGGGAGATACACATTTTCAACAGGGTTCTGCCTGCGTTCTCGTATTCAGGGTCCCTTCCAGCTTTAGCATTCCAGCTATGAAGCCGGGTGGTAGCTCCCTGACCAGTGGCTGGGCACGTGTTGGTGGCCCGAGTCCAGATGCACTCTGGGCAGCAGCAGACGCCGGTGACGTCAGCACTGACAGCGCCTGAACCGCCGTTTTGAAAGAAATGAGCCGTGAGAAAGTGCAGCTTCCTCTTCAGTTAAATAAACAAATACAGTGCAGCCCAAACCTGGAAATAGCCACCATGCCACTTGCAAACAGCTGCTTGCCACTAGCCACCCTGCCTGCCCCGCTGCTGCCCCTTTGCGCTCGCCACTGGGTCCGCTTCAGCACCGTGGTCCTGTGGCTGGCCCCCCAGTTTTGTGCTCGAGGCTTAGAATCAATGAACTGGGGCTGCCAGGTTTGGGGGCACCCACCCCTAGCACTGGGTGGGGCTGTGCAACTGGCTGGCCCTTGCAGCACTGCCAGGCAGGGCCAGGACCGGGTGCTCGGTGCTCAGTCCACTGAGCCCTGGTGAAGTCGGACGAGCAGCCCTGGTGGCGCACACCAGACCCTGCCCTGGGAGGGACCATCCGGTCCCAGGGCGTCTATGGGCAGAATGTTCCAGAATGTCAGGCTGGAGGCCAGGGTCTTTGTCCTGGCCCCATCTAGTGTTTCTGTGACCCCCCCCCCCAAGCTCCGTCATTAGGGAGCCACAGGGGAAAGCTGCACAGCCCCCTGGAGGGCCCATGGGGCCAGTATGCGGGGCCGGGAAGGCGCCAGGGTGGTCAGGGTGTTCACGCAGCCTGCCCAGCCAGCACCTGCTCACAGGCTGCTTGTCCCTCCGGGATCAGAAGTTGCGGCACAGGAGCCGCGCAGTAGTAGCCTCCACACTGCCAGGTGGGCAGGGCCGCTGTGCAGCCAGCAGGGTGAACCGTGCTGGCCTGAGGCCCAGGCTGACCTTCCCAGCCTTGCACTGGGGCTGGGCAGCCCCATGTAGCTGCCTGTCGGGCCCAGAGGGGCCACTCCATGGGCCGAGTGGCTCTGCTGCTCTGAGACAGAACGCGCTGATGTTTCTTCCCATCTGCCGGTGCTGGCGGCAGTGAGCGATGGCCCCGGATGCTAAGTGGCAGTGAGATGAAGATGAGTGCCTGGGGCCAGAGGAAGTGGTTTGCAGTGTTGCTGTAATTACGGCAAATCAGAAAGAAGCTCCCATGAACATTGACAGCCAGTCAGGAAACAGCGTCAGCTGTCCCATGTCCTGTCTCTGTGGCCAGCCACACTACTGGCGCTCCCAGGGCCTTTGTCTGCAGGGGCCACCTGACTTGCAGCCATTGGCTCTACCATTTAATTTGTCCAGGCACCTGGTCAGCGGCCTGTGGACAGAGGCACAGGAGTCCCAACCCAGCCTCCAGCCAATGGACGGGCTTGCGGGTGGTCTCTCGCCTAGTCCTGTGCTTTCTCCAGAGGTGAGGGGCCTTCCTGAGGGGGAGGGTGTCCAGGGACAGCATGTCTTCCCCCCTGCACCCCTGTGCTGACAGGGTCCACAGCTAGGGCATTCTGTGGGCACCTGCTGGCTGGGCATGGGCCACCTGAACCCTGGGGTCTCAGCCCTCCTGCCGAGGGCACCTGCAAGAGCTTGGGGGCGGGGCCACACACTTGGCTGCTGGCAGGGTGTGGCGCTCCCTGCCCGTGTCCGCCCTGCTCCAGAGTCTCTCAGCCCCACCCACCTCCAGGTCGGAAACAGGCCAAGCCCAGGGCCAGAGGTGTCTCACCCGCCACGCTGGACTGCCCGCTGCTGCACTCGCCACCACATCGGCTTTTACAGGCAGACCTCCAGCTGTGAAGGTCTCTGGTCCCCAACAGCTCAGTCCTCCACACGACAGCCCTTTCACACAGGCACCTGTGTGATCTCTCTCATACGTCGTTCAGGTGCGATGCGGTTTTCGGAGAAATAGCTTCTGGAAAGAGTTGAGTTTGAGAACCAAGGTTCCACTGTGTTTGGGAAGATTAGTTCTTCGAGAAATTGTCCCCAGTCCCAGCTCTTTACCTCCCCCCACCTTGTCTCCACGGCATCCCGGGCCTCTCTTTGGCCCTGACACCCCGCGCCCCAGAGAGGGGGGTGGGCCTCGGAGCCTCCAGGTCAAACCGTCTCTGCTTACTGAGTGCCCAGCGTGTGCCGGGCACTGCTGGAAGCACTTCCCATGTGAGAGTTCAGTCCAACATGCTTCCCACTCGAGGCAGGCGCTGGTGGGCCCTGTTCCAGCTGAGGCAGCGCCTTCACACAGAACGCAAGCGACGCCTCCAGGTCTGACCTGAGCCGTCCAGCCCAGGAGCCTGGGCACTGTGGGAGTGTACTTGCAGTCGGGGTTCCAGGTCTGCGTGGGCCACACAGGGGCCCTGGTCACGTAAGCACCCCTGCCTGCCGGCCAGCCCTGGGTGGTCAGCCCCGCCCTGCACCCTACGCCTGGCACCACTGCTTCCTGTCCCTGAGCTTGACTTTTCCAGAACGTCTGTCCCTGTGGCCCTGGTGTCTGGTGCTACCTCTTTGCATTGCACATGGAGACTCGCCCGTGGCGTGCGGGGGTTGGAGCCTCGTTGCTGAGCAGAACTGGACTGTGCAGATGCGCCGCAGCGGTTCCGCCACTTGCCTTTGAGTGACGTGTGGGCTGTTCCAGGTCTGGGCCCTCACAGGCAAAGCTGATTAAATATTTGCACACAGGTTCTCACGTGACATGAGTTTTCTTTCTTGGGTGAATGCCTAGGAGTGTGGTTGCCGGTTCTCATGGTAAGTCTGTATTCCCCTCACATGTAGCTGTAGGCTTTTGCATTGCGCCAGGCAGGACCCTTCAAGGTCCCGCAGAGGCAGAGGCTCTCACCTGGGGCTCGGGATCCCCGGGGGGGACGGAGGATCGTCCAGGGCCAACCCCATGGCTCCTCTGGTGCCAATCTCCAGCCAAGAACCAGGGCTCCTGCGGCCTTTCCTGAACCACCCCGAGGGCTGCCACGGTCTGGCCCCAGGGTCCTTGGGCGCTCACCGAGCTTGGCCCTGGGAAGGCTAGTGGGTCGTTGTTAGTGTGTGGAGTGAGTGAAGCTTTGGGTTCTCCCCAGGCGCTCTGAGTGCCAGGTGGACGGAGACACTGCTCAGATGCCGACAAGCACACGCTTTCCTAGATGCCTGTGGTCTCGGACTCGAGTCTTCCTGGGCTGTCATTCTCAACTCTATGCCCTGATGACCCACAGCCTGTGCCACAGCGGCCTCTCCACATCACTCCTGCACTGAAGGCAGTGGCAGCGCGGTGACTCTGTGGGACAATCTCAGCTGGAAACAAGGGGCACAACCCTGTCCCTCCGGCCGGCTCCTCCCTCCCTCCCGTGTCCCTCTGGCAGAAGCGGCCCTCTCAGCGCTGGCTGGTCTTGCCGCGTCAGTGTTTCCAGTTGAGCCTGGGCCGGCTGTATGGCACTGCTGCATGGGGTGAGACCTGGACTGAGTGTGTGGTGACGATTGTCATGGCTCCCTCTCCACGTCGCTCACGGAGACTCGCCTGGGGTGTGTGAGGGTCGAGCCTCACTGCTGAGCTGGACTGGCCTGCCCGAGTTGGCCGTTTCCGTGATGCTGCAGCTGCTTCCAGGTCGGGGCCCCGCCCCTGTGGAAAACCCAGCCGGCCCCATGGCCTGAGGGAGCAGCGCCCCGTTGCCAAGTTTCGCCCCTGAAAATGGGCGCTGCAGATCGCCTTGCCTGAGGAGGAAGCCCAGTGGTGGTAGCTCATCTGCAGCAGGTGACAGACCTGTTCTGGCTGTTCACTCAGGAGACAGAGCTGGGGCTCCTGGCCACCCTTCCCGAATGACCAGACCACCAGGCCACCGTGGTCCCAGTGCCAGAGAAATGGGCTGTTTGCCCTGGAGCAGCCTCTAGCGTGCGCAGACCTCCATTTTCAGGAGAAACTTTGCCCAGCAGCGAGTTGCTGCATCTCCATTTAAATGCCATACACCACAGCCGGGCTGGGCGGGGTGGGGGGCCAGCAGCACGCGCCTGTGCCCCGCACCCACTCCAGCCCTGTTCTGTCGCCTCTGCTCGCAGCCTCACTCTCCCTTCAGCTCCCTGTGCTCCAGAGAGCAGGCAGGCACGAGACCTGCGGTCCTGTAAGGACAACAGGAATTCGGCCTTAATTCAAACCACACGTTGCATTTTAAGCAGAGGCTGGTCTGGTCACATGACCAGAGAGCCTCAGATGGACCTGGGAGGAGGAGCCTGGTGCAGACAGAGAAGGCTGTGTGTGCGGCGGGGTGGCCCCTCCCAGGAGGCAGCCTGTCTGCACTCAAAACAGGACCTGCAGCCCCACCCAAGCACAAGGGGAGCACCCCCAATCTGTCTGGCCGTAGTCTGGGGACGCTCCAGGGCTCTGCCTTCTGCCCCACCAGGGAGGGGATCCGGCCGCTGGCATCCTAAACGTGGAGCCCTGTCCTCACCCCTGCCTGCAGGCCCGCATCCAGCACCTTGCTCAGATGGGCAGGGCGAGGGCGCGGCGCCTGGAGGGCCGTCTAGAAGAGTTCCCGCTGCATCTGGTCCACAGCACGCCCTTGCTGCGCCTGTCTTGAGGCTGGGTACAAGGCAGGTAGGAGTCTCGGAAGGCATGGCCAAGGACGGGCACGGGGTCAGCGAGGTCCCGAGCACAGCTAGGCACCCCAGGTCCTGAAGGCGGGAGGCTCTGCCCAGTGGAGTGGAGAGCGTCCTCTCTACTGTCCCCTAGCCAGCCCTGGGGACAGCAATTCCTCTTTAACCCCTCTCCCGCTGTGCGGCTGCATCCCTTCCAAAGTGGAGCTTGCCCTGCATGGGTGTATGCTCGCGGCAGGACTTTCTAAGCATCACTCACCCGTCCAGGGCCCCTGGCAGCACCCACAGCCACTGGAGGTCTGTGGGGCGAACCTGGGTCTAGGGGGCCCATTGGAGCTTTCTCAGGGGTGGGGGAGCCTCATGGGGGAGTAAGGACTCCTGGGGCTCCTCCGCCCTGGGGGTGGGGAGCCAGAGGCTGGAGAGTCAGCAGGGCGCCTGTTCGTCTCTCTGGCTGGGGCCTCCCAGCTCCCAGGAGACTAGCACCTGGTCACTGGGCCTCCAGCCTCACCCATGCTGAGCACCCCAGGGATCCAGGCCTCGTCTGTCCAGTCCTGTTGCTGTGAGGGGCTGCCGTGAGGACCTGCAACACAGCGGAGCAGGCAGGCGAGGGAGACCCAGGCACTGCTTGGGGATGGGAGGGGTGAGATAGCAGTCACATGTGTGTGGAGCTGGCCCTGCTGACCTATGCTCCGGGTCACGGGGCTTCTGAAGGAGGGACTCGTGCTTGGGAGGCAGTGGCCTCCTCTCGTGCTCTGGGGCTGTGCTGCCCCCGCTCAGGCCCAGAGCCTTCTTGCCTGAGCCCTGCTCCCTATAAGGCCTCCAGCTCTCCCTGTGGCCTGGCGAGCCACCGTTTCCCGCCCCCCCTCCCAAGGCTTTTGGCTTCTCTGGTCCACAAAGGTGAGACCTGCACTCCCTTGGCCCCGAGGCCGCCAGCGCACAGTGAGCGGCAGCGGCAGCACAGTTCAGCGATGGTTAGCACAGCTGCAGGGCCGTGCCGCAGAGCCCAGCTTGCCGCACAGCTCCTGCCACGCGTGTTGGCCGCTGTGTGTTCGGCCTTCCTGTCCTGCTGCTCTCTAGTCAGCAGAGGAAGGAGGATGGGGCTGGCTTGCGTCCCTTCCTCTCTCCGGGTGGCACTGGCCGTGGTGCTGACGGCCACCCCGTGGGCACCTTCCTCAGTGCCTGGACCCTTTAGTGGCCTCACGACCTGTGGAATCTTCGACGGCATTGTGGGGAGACATCTTTGGATGGGTTGGACCATAGCAGGGAGACGCTAAGGGGATTCTGGGCTCTTGGACGGAAGCTTCCCTGAGAACGTGCAGGCTTGTCCTCCGCCCCCGCCCCACTTCTGGGCGCCCTGCCCACCCGAGTCCTCTTCCAGCACCCGGCTGGCATGCACCGTGGCTCCGTCACCTCCCAGAGCACCCTCTGCCCTGGACAGGGGGCACCTGCATCAGGTGTCAGCCAGGGGACCAGAAACCCTCTGTGGGGCTGCCGTGTGCACACCCCTCCACTCCTGACACCCAAGCCGGGGCAGGCCTCTGGTGGCCAGCTGTGCGTGTGCGCGTGTGAGATGTGCAGGTGTGTAGGTTTGGATCTCAGTGTCCACAGGGGACAGTTTCTGAGGGACACATGCATTCTCATCCCAGTTGCTGTCTGTCAGGTGGGGGTCAAGATGTGACTGCTGCCTCCCCTCCTGTGGCCCCTCCCTGGGACCCCACAAGTCTACCGCCGGCCACTGGGGAGCGCCCCACCTTTGCCTGCTTGTCCCTTCAGGGAAGGGCTCTGGGGCGGCCCGTGGTGCCACCTGACTTCTCAGGCTCACATCCTTCCCAGTGCTGTGGGCTCATCCCTCCCCCATGGGACACAGCCCTGTAGGGGGGCCGCGGCTCTGCAGAGTCCCCGAACGACACTCGCCCTGGGGTAGTGAGGGCCTTTCCCCCTCCCCACAGCTGCAGCTTTCCCCAGAGCTAGGCCCGGGAGGGTCCCAGCAGGTGTGGAACTGCCAGGGGCCCAGTCAGGGAAGGGCCAGGTCTCTGTGCCTGTGAGGCAACTGAACTTGAGAGCTGGCAGGCCTGGGCCTGCTCCCCAAGCACAGGGGATTCTGACTCAGCAGCACTGCCCGGTGACCCAGTCCGCCTGCAGAGCACCTGCCTCGGGTGCACCTGCTCAAGAGGGGGCCTGGGTCAGGAGGGGAGGTGCCGAGTATATCGCTCGGGTCGCTTTCTTGTGTACGTCACAGCTCCCTGGAAATACAAGTTTACGAATTCAGGAATTGCATGATAAGTACGAAATAATTTAACAATCTTCAGCCGTGTGGGGTTTTCTTCAGCAGTTTCTTCTTTCTCGAACATATAGAACCTCGGGCGAATGGTGCGGCCCTTGGGGCAAAGGTCATAGGTCACATGAGAAAGCCCTGAACCCCAACTGATTTAGAATTCAAGATCTGGATGTGTAACTTAACTTTCTCAGTAATGAAGCGTGGCAAAGGAGGTGAGTTTTTGTAAGAAAGTAACTTGAAGATTACAGTAGGGAAGAAGTGTTGTCTGCAGAATTTAGGGCCTTGGGATGTAAAGTGGGAGTTTGTGTCCTGGCACCTGCACACTCAGGTACAAGAGTGGTCAGGGAAGCATGGGGTGAATTCACATTCTGCTTCGGCTTTATCCAGAGAGCTCCCCACGCCCCTCTGAGGAGCTCAGAATGCCCCCGTCCCTGAGCGATTATGGTGACAGCTCTGGGCCCTGGGCCTTCAGGGTGTGGGAGCAGTGCAGGTCATGTGGCCCGTCCCAGAAGACAGGTGTTGGTGCAGAGTGGGTCCTGTCCTGGGGGGAGTGGGGGAGACAGGGCAGAGGTTAGCTTCTGGCACCCAGGCTGCCCAGAGACTCAACAAGGACAGGGCCCCCGGGGAGAGAGGTCAGGCTCTGTGGGGGCCAGGCTGCCCTGGTTGGTGCCTGCAGGAGGAGCTGCCCACGCGCACAGCCCTCTGTCACCTGTGGGGGGTGGGCACCAGGACAGGGCCAGGGGCTGCCCAGACCCCCAGGTGCCCCTGAAACTAGCCATATTGCGGCCAAAGCCCCGAGAAGTGGAAAAGAGTGACTGTAGACCCCTCTTGTGGGGGAGGCGGGTCGGGCTGAGGGCCAAGGCTGTGGGCAGAGACTGTGAGATCCGGACTCCCCTGCACCCGGGGGCTTCCGCTTGAAGCCCCACTCTAGGTCCCCGACTAGAGCTGGGCTGGGTCTGGGGGTCTGGGCCTGGACCCTGCAGGGGAGCAGCAGCAATGGCAGTGTGCAGGGCGGGGCCCGTCGCTGTGCCCTGGGGTGGTGCACTTGGGGGGGTGGGGGTCAGGCTGGAGCCTTAGTCAGGTTGGGAAGTGCTGGCCCCCTGCACACCTGGGGTGGCAGACAGGGCTGTGCCCTTGAAGAGAAGCAGTGCTTTCAGCGAGGAGGCAGGCTGGGGCGGTGCACTCCAAGCAGCAGGAAACAGCGGGGACCCACAGACATTTCCGTGGTCGGGTCTCGAGGGTCCTGGCTGCCAAGGGGCCACCTGCTGCCCATGGGCTGCAGAGCCCGGGTGGCTCTTTCCTCCAGATGCCTGGTTAGGCTTGCTACCCAGTGATTTGCTGCAAACCTGAAATAGGTCTTTCTGTCTGTAGGACTTTTTAGGCTTCGAAACTGGGGTCAGAGGGTTGTGGGCCTGTATTTTGGTCATAAGGCCTGGGGTGGAGGCGAGGGGGCCGAGATTGAAGGGGCTCCCTCGTCTGCACGCATGGAAGGAGGTATGGCGCTGGTGGAGGCGAGGGTGTAGTGCGCCTGTGCTGGCCTTCCAGCCACACCAGGTGCAGCCACGTCCCTTAGGGAGCCGGCCTCAGGCCCCCACCTCCTCGGGATGGGACTGTGGGTCATGCTCAAGCTGGGCCGCCCTGTGGGCCCAGCCTCCAGACCGACGACCCAATCTCTGGGCTCTTTCCTGTTCTCAGGCCCTTCCAGCTGCTGTGCTGGGTCCTAAATCCTTGCAGCATTTTCTTGCCTCAGTTTTGAGCCTACTGTGGGCTCTGCTTTGGGTGGACCAGCAGCAAACAGCATTACCTGTGAGGCGGTGGGGTGTCGGCACATCTGGTAGGCAGAGGAGCACCTCAGAGCTACTGAGGGTACCTGCCTAAACCAGCCCCACCAGCTCTCCCTTCTTGGTGAGACATGCCGTCACCCCAGGGTGACAGGCACGTCCTCCAGGTCCAGCCGTGGTGCCTCGGGGCCTGTGCCCACACAGCTCCAGCCTCGTCCCCCACAGGACCCTCGAGGAGCACCAGCCACCCACCCTCTTCAACACGCATTCCCTGTCCTGTTTCCTTCATTTTAATACTTTGTGACTTTTCCTTCAAACATCTCTCTTTCTATAGACAGACGCAAGGGGGGATCAAGTACTTTAACGATACACAAAGTATAAATACTGGCTTTGACTTCCATCACTTCATCTGGAAAGCCCCTGTTGGGAGGCTGAGAGAGCAGGCTGAGGGCGGGGGCTGGCAGGGCAGGAGGCCGGCCGCACAGCCTCCTGGGGCCAGGGAGCCCCGGGAAAACACAGGAAAGGTCAAGAGCACACGTTTTGTGCTGTTGCGTGTGCTTTCCTCAGTGTGTCCGACGGGGTGAGAGCAGCAGAGTGTGCAGGTGACAAAGTGCTGTGCGTGGGACAGAGGTGTCATTCGCCTGGTCCCCCAGGATGCGAGGTGCAGGTGACAGGAGGGAATGACAGCTTGGCCTGGGCACTGGGCACTGCCTGCAGGCCGTGCACCGGCACTGTCTCCGTGGGCTGACCGGTGCCACTGGCTGTCTACGCCAGCACCTGCTGGACCCCTGCCTGGTCCGCAGAGCAGCTCTGACGCCCACAGGGAGTTTTCTTCACCAACCGCCGCAGCTTGCCGGGGAAGCTCCTGTTGATGTAGCGGTAAAGCAGTGGCGTCACTGCGCTGCTGGAGAGGGCGAGGCATCTGGACAGGTCCTTCACAAAGAGCAGCATCCCCAGGTGCTGCCCGTCCACAGGCCAGCCCTGCAAGGCCAGGGACGTGTGCCCCAAGAGGGTCAGGTAGTGCGGCGTCCAGAGCCCAAACTGCGTGCACACGGTGGCCACCAGGAGCCGGTGCACTGAGGGGTCCAGCCTCCCCGACTCCTGGTCCAGGGGCGTGTCCTGCCTGCGGATCCGAGAGACGAGAACAAGGGCATAGAGCACAGCCAGGCCGGGTACCAGGTACCCAATGAGCACCATGATGGCGTCAGCAGCCTCCGTGTGCTGCATCTGGGCGCACTCGACCAGCCGGGCGGCCACGTGGCTGCAGATGTAGAAGAGCAGGGAGGAGAAGCTGGTGAGCAGGGCACCGCCCCAGACGAAGCCACACACGTGCCGGCTGTTGTAGACGCTGGACATGTAGGTGCGTGGCAGAGCCCGCTCGATGTAGTAGTCCAGGCTGAGCAGGGCTGTGCAGTACATGGTCACCAGCGCACAGACGTCGAACAGCACCAGCAGCGTGACATGGGCCTCGCTGCTGGAGCCCCACAAGGCCCACCCAGAGGTGCCGGGGCCCAGCAGGAGCGCAGGTGCCAGGGCACTGAGCAGCAGGCCTGCGATGGCCATGTTCACGAAGTAGACGTCAGGCATGGCCATGCTGCCCTGCTCGTGCAGGTTCACCAGGATCAGCAGGCTGTTGTAGCCCAGGCCAACCGGGACGCCGATGACCAGGTAGAGCAGGGAGACGGCCGACAGGGCCAGCTGGGCATGCTGGCAGAGGGGCTGGTCCTCGGCCCTGTCGGTGCTGTTGAGCGGGCTGCAGCTCCACATGGCACAGCAAGCTGTGGGGAGAGGGGGGTTAGCTGTTACCTGGAGTCAAGCCCTGGGCCTGCAGGCTGCTCGGAGGAGCTCGGGGACAGCAGAAACTGTCCCCGGAGTTTCCTGCGATAGCCGTTGCAGGGTGCCCATCTCAGGTCCCACGGGGGGCCAGTGCCTGGAGGGTCATGTGCTACAGGATCTTCATGGCGCAGCCAGCCTCCTAACCCTGTTTCTGCGAGAAAGGGGGGCAAGGGTCCTGGCTTCCCGTGGGACCACTGCGTCCTGGCCATGGCAGGCGCTCCACCTGCTGACCCTCAGAGCACCTGCAGAGTCGGGCTTCTCTCCACCAGGAGGGGGCGCTCTGCAGGACCCCTGCTGGCCTGGGCCCAGGAGCCCTGGAGAGGTGAGTACTGGGCCAGGACTCAGACCCGGGCTCAGTGTTGCCTGCTGGGCTCAGCCGCGTGACAGGGCACTAGCCTGCCCTCCCCCGGCATTGTCCCTGGAGAGCAGAACAGGGAGTCAGAGTGCCTGCAGGGCACCTAGGGGCAAGCCCCATGTGCCGTTTGTCCTAGGCCTTGCTGTGACAGGTGTGACTCAACCAAGGTCAGGAAGGCCTGCAGTGCAGGGAGGGGTGGGCTGGCACTCTGCCACCCAGCCAGCACATGGCCCTGCCTTCTGGCATCAGCCTGGACCCTGCCAAACATGCGTGGGGATCCACAGCCCCTCTGCCTACCCCCAACCCCTCTCTCCTGGGCCTGGAAGAGGGCAACAGAGCCTGGAGTGCTCAGGCCTTGGTGCCTGAGCTGCACTAGGCGAGCTGGGAATACTTCTGGGGAGGGCTGGCTGTATGGCTTGGAGACCCGAGAGAGAGCCGCAAGTGTATGTGAGGCCTGGTCCCATGGGCTCAAGAGGCCATCTGCAGGGGATCCTGTCCCTGTGCCTTTGCCTCACAGGCCCTATGTGGGCAAGTGGCCCAGGGTGGCCTGTCCACCTGGTATGTGAGGCCTGGGTGAGAACTGGCAGGAAGGACAGATGTCACCAGCCTCTGGAGGAGAACCTCGAATTCAGAGACTGCTGGGCCCCAGCACACCTCCACCTGCAGAGCACAGAGCAGCCCTCTCCCCCGATCCAGACCTGGCCCTGTGGCCAAGGCCCAGGACACAGCCAGCCCACCGAGCGGGCGCAGGCCGCACCTAGGTGACATGGACAAAGGGCTCTGCTGCCTGTGGACAGGCTAGTCTGTCCCGCCCTGTGTCTGTCCCACAGGCCTTCGCTGCTGCCTGCTGTGTCCCGCTACCTCAGGCCGGGGCGACGAGGGCACAAGGTGCGGTGCTTGGCAGCGTCCTCCTGGCCCCCAGTGGGAGCGCATCCACTTGGGACCCCAGCCCCGTCTGACCCCCCCCCTCCGGGCCAGCCGGGAGGGATGTCGAGTCCAAGGCAACGTCGGCAAACCTGGTGAGCAGCACCTGCAGCCGGGACAGCCGGTGTCAGACGGCAATGAGTGTGCTCATGGCTGGGCCCAGCTCCACCCACCCACGCTGCCATTCCGCCACCATGAGGGACAGTGAGGGGACAGGTCCTTCCATCTGGATGGTGCTCCTTGGCCTGCGGGGCTGGCTGCCTGGGCAGGAGAACCACTGGGCCGGGAGGCACCCCCACCCTGCACAGCTCCTGCAGGAACAGCCACTGTAGTGCACGGCCATGGGCTCCATCCAGGGGACCTCACTGAGTTCAGTTCTGAGGAAGTGCTGCACCCTTGTGGCTGCTGTGGATGTTTTTTACCCCAGAGTGTCCAGGCCTTGCCTGGCTCACATGCCTTCAAGGGCCTGTGGAGACCACCCAGGACATCCCCACCTGCTCCTGCTATCAGCCTTCCCCACCACGGGAATGGAAGGTGGGGGCTGCAGCCCCCCATTGGGAGGGTTCACTAGCAAAAGGTACAGCTCTGCCCCCACTGCCAGGGGCCATGGCCCTGGAAGATGTGCTCCCGGTCCCCAAACCAGGCCTTCCGAGCCCTGCCTGCCATCAGCTGAGCTTTCACCCACCAGTGGACAAGCCCGCCCAGCCCCTCCCGTTACTCCAGTTCCACAGGTCCCACCCCAGGACAGAGAGGCTCCCCCATGCAGCCTGCAGCGGCACCACGAGGACGCGCGTCCCCGTTTCTGCCTCCCTCGGCAGGCCCCATGGACCCTCCCTGTATGTGTTTACAGCCAGTCTCAAACGAGGGACTGTGCCTGGACAGGCCAGTACTGCAGGCTGCTCCCACCTGTCCCCTCAGCGGCCCTGGCCTCAGCCCTGTGTACCCCAAGCCTGTGTGTGGGACACTGTAGTTAGGAGCTTCTTTCCCCTGAGAAGATAAACTAGCAGACATTTGTGAGTGGGAACTAAGGACACAGAGTCGACCCTCTGGGCCATAGCTGGACCTCAGGAAGGAGTCCAGCACTTCCCAGGGAGGGGAGGGTACACCGAGAGTTCCGAAGCAGCCCAGTGCAGCCAGGGGGCAGGTGTCCAGTTGGTGTCACCGATGAAGGGACAAGCTCCTCCTGCAGGCCGCTGCAGGTTCCTCTGCCCCAAAGCCCCCCCACTACAGCTGCAGGGGGGTGGGTGTGGAGGGGTGGCAGGGACCGCGCTCCCCCAGGGCATTAGCCTGCCTTGAAGTACAGCAGGAAGAGCAGCCAGCAAACATCCGGTGCTGGGCTCAGACAGGCTTTGTTCCTGGGAAGTTGTCACGTGGCACAAGACCTGCTGAGAATTTCCCTGAAGTGTTCCTGTGCCTGCAGCCCCCGCCTGCACAGGCGACGGGCATGGGGACGGGGACTGTGCGCCTGTGTGGCAGATCAGAACCACACTGCGCGTCTCACTGGCAGCTGCTAGACAGGGCTGTCAACCGGCCCCCGCAAAGTCAGCGTCGGAGTGCCATTCCCTGCTGTGGCAGCTACGAGGGTGACTCTGATGTCAGGTGATGTCAGGAGGCTGAAGGTGCCGGTGGTCATCCACTTTCAGTTGGAAAAGGGCCCGCTGGGCCGCCTGTCCAGTGTGCTTCCTGGGGGCAGCAGGGCACCTTGTCTGTCCTGCTCAAACTCAGAAATCTGGGGAGCAAATGGTGGCTGTCAGAGCTGCCTTGTTTTACAAGTGCAGGTGTGTGGCTTTTCCAGAATGGGGACCACTAACTCTCACCCCTGTGAGGTCAAGGGGCGAGAGGGTGGAAGGTTGTCACCTCCCAGCTGCTGGGCACAGGCAGAGGCAGGGCTGCTGGGCTTGGCCCCGCCTCCTCCCCAGTCCCATTTCCCTGAAGTCAACCCCCCCTCGGAGCATTCAGGCTTGTGAGCTGGAAAAAGGAGTAGTCGGGGGAAGAGGGAGGGCCCGACCACAATGATGTTCTGACCGCTCCCCCTCCCCGCGGGGCACAGGCAGGCACAGGCGGGCAGCGGCTTCTAGGTATCAAGCCTGTTCCTTCCTGAGAAAGAGGAACTTGGAAGGAACTCAGTTGAGCAACTCAGGGTTCCAGGAAGGGCCCAGAGACAGGGGTGGAGGGTTCCAGTGTCCCTGTCACCTGCTGCGTTGCCTCAGCTGAAGGGGCCTGGCTGGGCGAGGGCCCTGTGCACTTCTCCTCCCACTACCACCCCCTGCCCCTGCCTGCCAGCCCCGCTGGGCTCTCGGCTGCGTCTCGGCACCTTCTTCTCATTCTCACCACTGCCTCTCCCCTCCCCCCACAGCACCCGCCCCCAACTCCTTAAGACTTGTACCCACGTGTGGTGTGAGGGCACTGTGCCCCACGGGACCCCAGCACATGCAGCAAGCTGCCCAGTTGGGTCAGGGGCTCCTCTCTGAGATGAGGGGACGTGCCCAGGCCCCCTGCCCACGCACTGCAGGGGACCAGGCCCATGGGAACCTCTAAGGCAGGGTGTCCAACCCTGTGACGCCTCTGGGACACATTCAAAGGAGAAGAGTTGTCTTGGGCTACACAGTAAATACACTGTGACACAGAATCACAAAAAACTCAATGTTTTAAGTAAATTTACAGTGTTGTGTTGGGCGTGGGTTGGACACCCCTGCTCAGGGAGCAGAACCATGGTCCTGGCCTCTGCAGGCGGGAGGGGCGCCTCTGGGCTCCAGCAAACCCACCAGTTAGAGGAAGGCTGGGAGGAGGTTCAAGAGGCCAAGTTTCCAGGGTCAAAAACGCTGGGGCCCCACCTGTGTCGGCAGTGCTGCTGCAGCCCCTCAGACAGGGGGGCCAGGCCTTCTGACTAAGGGGGAGGCCACGGGACTCGCAGGGCCTGTGTGTACGTTGTCCCCACCCCCGCTGCAGCTGTCTGTCTGCAGGGCTCTGTCCTCCTGGACCCGCAGCCAGGCCCTTGTGTCACCAGCAGGAGGAGCCGCTCTTCTCACACGCTCCTGTGTGCCAGCTCCCAGGACCTTCGGGGCTGCGGTAACTAGTTCCCGAGAGGGTGCTGTCCCAATGGCCTGCAGGCAGTCTCCAACCCTGGGCCAGGTGGCCTCCTCCTGGGCAGGGCGAGGGCTGTCTGGCCAGGTTCTTGGTGCTCCAGGCAGAAGCTGGAGGTGCCTGACTCCAGGCCGGGGTCCCAGCAGTGAGCACAGGGCGGCCCCAGCTTTGGCCTGTGCCCCTCTTACAGCTCCCCACTCCACCTGGAGGTCCCACAGCCCTGGCTCTGCCTCTGGTTTCCCCTGGGGGGGGGGGACCCAGGCCGCCTCTTTGGGAGCCAGCCATCAAATGGCGTGGAGGGCCGAAGACAGCCTAGGCCTGGGCGCTGGGCCCCCTGCAGCCTCTGGGTGACCAGTGAGCCTGAGTGCTGGCAGAAGGGCCTTGTGGGACCTGGGTTTGGAGTGGAGGCCTGCTGGGGGGCGCCAGGACAAGGAAGGGCAAGCTGCACGAAAGCTGGAGACCGACAGGCCTCCCAGGGCTCTGCCCACTGCCCAAGACTCGAAAGTGCGTGCGGCATGGGCACACGGACAACAGCAGCCCCTCCCCTGGAGGTGGGTGCCAGGGTGGCAGTGGTCTCAGGTCTGGGAGATGGAGGGGGACAGACAGGCAGGTGCCCAGCAACCACGCCCCAGCGGGGCCCAGCAAGGCACAGGGGTGAGTGTCCCAGGACTGCACTGCCACGGGGTCCTGTGGAGTGCCAGCCCAGGGAGCCTCCTCCCTGCAGGAAGGCAGCTGTGAGCCTGGCAGCGCCGTGACCCTGGGCCTAACCCCCAGCCCCGCGTGAGGGAACCTGAGCCCAGCCCGTGCTCAGGGGAGCTGATGCAGCAGCTCCACACCCTCAGCCACCGGGCGTCTCCACAACACTGGAGGGACATCCAGACTCCCAGCCTCAGGCACTTCTTGCCTCAGTTTCCCCAGTGTAGGAAGCTCCATGTGAGGCTGTTGGAAGGACTTAACCAACGCAGTACACGTAGCACAGAGGGGGCCTGGCCTCCCCTGGTGCTGGGAGGGTGAGGGGCGGCCCTGCCTCCCCTGCAACCCCGTTCCCCACAGGAAGCTGCAGTATGAACGTCCTCTCAGGTCCTGGCAGCTGGCACATGGGAGGGGAAACCAGGGCAGGGGGGTCGAGCGCACAAGCACTTTCACAGTCAGGTGAGCATGCTCGTGGAAAGGACCCCGGGAGGGCGCACGCCGGGCCGCAGGGCTCCAGACCGTGTGCAGGTTGGGGTGCAGGTCATGGCACAGCAGCGACGCCCCCGCAGTGGCCCTGAGCTCCTGGCCACATGCACAACCATCCTATGAACGGGGCTGGGGCCGGGAGAAGAGCTGCACGCAGGGGCACCCACCAACAGAAATCGCGGTCTCCGGGGAGGCGGGATGCAGGCATGGGCAGAGCAGCAGCTTGCGGACATGCGCACATGAGTGTGAGTTCACACAAGGCCGGCAGAAGTGACAAACCAGCACCCTGCTCCCATGGAGCCGAACACACGTCACTGACCTCACCTTTCACCCCCGGCCTCTGAGTCAGTCGCTCAGTCCCGCAGCTGGGCCATCCGAGCTGGGCCTGCTGCCGCACCAGGCCGCCGGAGCCTCTCTCTCGTTCTCCCTCTCACTTCCTCCGCCATCTCTACACAGGGTCGCTGGCCCCGGATACTGTTCCTCGCTTCACCCTGGCCACTCGGCCAACACCAGCTCTCCCTTAAACTTCGCAGGCATCAGCTCCTCGGCCTCCCTGCCCACTGTCCCCTCACACAGCCACTCGTGCCCAAAGCCTTCCTGGCAGAGCCTCTGTGGCCCTGACAGTGGTGCATCCTTTGACGTGCAGGGGACCTGGGAGTGGGCACAGGAGGCCAGGCCAGGCAGCGCATCCTCGGGGCAGGCAGCTCAGCTAGGCTGCCAGTCCTGTCGACCTGTTGTTACCCTGAAACTCAGCCTCACGTAAGCATTCTGGGACAATCAGAATGCTTTGAAAATGACTCCTGAGCTTATTTCCTTAGTACTAATAGGCAGAGAGGCCTTAGATGCAATTTACATCCAGCTGGTAGGAGCCAGGTGCTTTAAAAGACTGATGTGTCCACAGGTCTCCCCTGGAGAGCTACACACCCCGATGCTATCTCACACTCGGGCCTCCTCTGGGCGATGAGAAATGGCTCGTTATGTAGGCGGGGGTGTCTGCATTCCACAGCCATGTGCTTTCCGCCATCCCAAGAGGCCGTGTGGCAACAGCGACCCTGGCAGCCTGGCTCAGTCCTCTCATTCTCCATGGACAGCCGGCCTGTTGGCTGGCTCCAGAGTGGTTGTGGGGACTGAGACCAGTTGGCTGGGTCCTGGCCAGGGGAGAGACTGGCCATGGTTTCCTCTCCTCAGAGCACATGGGACACACGTGCTCTTGTCTGTGCAGCACAGTTACTTAGTGTCTTTGTCACCGGAGTAACTCAGTTGAAGCTCAGTCTGTCTCCAGGCACGCCAGACCAGGGAAAAGCAGACAGGAAGAGGCTGGCTCAGAAGTTCAAGGGCCAGCTGCGTGGGTCTAGTCTCCATTTCAGACTTCGGGTGTCCTGTCTGCCCGGCTTTTCACTAGGTGTGCTCTTACCTGGGGAATGTGCTCGGAGCCACAGATGCTATCACCACCTGCAGTTCTTTCCGAGGGCGGGGCCAGCCAGTCAGTCTCATTTATCACAATTGCTCCCTCAGTTTGCTGGGCTCTAACTGAACCGGAAGCTCTGGGGCACACTCTGCTGACAGGTGTGGGAGGCAGGGGACCCAGGGCAGACCTTCTGGGGATGCATGAGACAGCAGGTCCATTTCACCCTGCCCTCTGCCACCAAGGGTGTCCCTGTTACTTGCAGAGACGCCCAGCAGCAGCGTGCTCTGGTAGCTCAGCTGAGGGAGAAGACTAACTTTTCTACTCTCCAGACCGAGTCCTTTCTGCTCTTTGATGCCTGGGCAGTGTTTTGAGTCCTGGGCCTGTGGGACCCCGTGAATAGATGCAGCCCAAGGCTGCCCCTTCACGAGGTAGCTCAGCCTTAGGTGTTTAGGAGGCAGCAGCCTGCAGGAGGAAGTCCTGGAAAGCACTGTTGAAGGCAGCAGCCAGGGTTTCTGAGAGGTGGCCCCACCCTCGCCCCAAGGCTGGGCCCAGAGGCAGGATCCCCAGTACGGGGCCGGGCCAGAGGTGGGAGCAGCACGTCCCTCTTCCTACCTATGAATCACACAGGCACCTCTCCCTGACAGTTCTGGGCAGCTCTGTCCTTCTTTCATCCTATAACAGGTATGGTTGGTATGCACCTTGTAACCTGAAACCCACTGCACGTCAGGTGGCTGTTTGAGCACAGGGGACAGCAGGTCTGTGTTGATGGCTGCATCCTCCCCAGAGCTGTGCACCTCAGTCCTCTGGACACTTCTGTCCTCCCTGGAGAGGCAGGGCAGCAGCAGGGACCCCGGCCCAAGGCCTGGACTCTGTGCAGCCTGGGGCGATGGGCTGGATCGCCCAGTCTCCTGCCTGTGCCTGTGGGCACTCCATCCAGAGGGCGATCCTGACATTCCAGCTTGGAGAGCATGTTAGCAGTTCAGAGTGCTGCTCCTCAGTGTCAGTGATGCCTGGCAGGGACCCGGGGAGGATGACAGAGGACTTGTGCTCTATGAAGCCCCAGCAGCCTGGGGACAGCTTCAGAGCCACCTCATACACACTCTTGCATTTGCAGAGGCCATAGGGCACACTTCTGGCCACCTGGTGAGTGCTAGTGTGCGCCTAGCCAGTCGTGGAGATAGGGGAGGAGGCCGCGGCTGCCCAGCTGAGATAGGGCACTCCTTGTTTGAAGCTGGAGGGAGTGGAGCGCCCATCCGCACCCTCAGGGAAAGCAGCTGTGGTGCGCACGCAGGTGTCACTCCACAGTAAACAAGAATGAAGTCTTGCCACTGAACCACAGGAGTGGACCCAGGGGGTATTATGCTAAGTGACATAAGTCAGAGATCTCACTTCCAACAAACGAAACTGACACAAAAAAGGTGGTGCAGGGACCTGAACCGAATCGTCTCCAGTGGTGAGAGGACGTGAGACACCAGGTCTCCCTCCCACTGGCAAGAGTGACCCTGCAACCCAGGACACAGCGAAGGGGGCTGTAATGGTGACTGCCCTAGGGTTCTGGCTCCGAGGCAGAGGCGCTAGGTGTCTGTGGAGCCAGTCTGCGCCAGAAGAGGGCCGTCAAGGAACCAAGGCAGTCCCCGCAGAGCGGGTCTCCGCTCGCGCGTCCTTCAGGGTTTGCTACGACGCTGTCATCACGAAAGGGACAAAACTCCAACACTGGGGACATGAGCCGGCTGGGCTGCTGGCCACCCGCGGGCACAGCTCCAGGGCCTGACAGGTTAACGACCGCTGGGCAGCCGCCCTCCTGGCTCCCCTCCCAGCGCCGCGAGGCTAGAGCGCCCCCGCACCTAGAGGACCACCCAGGGCCGGGCCCAGGGACCTGCGGGTCCGAGTGGAGCGCTCGGCCGAAGGGGCCACCGCAGCCCGGGGCTTGCCCCCCCCCCCCCGCGCAGGCTGCGACCCCGCGGGCGCCTAGCCAACCCGACCCCGACCCCACATTTGGCGCCCACTCACCGGCTCCCTGGGCCGCGCAGTCCCCGCGGGCGGGCAGCTAAGGGCTTTGGAGACGGCAGGCTCACGGCGCACGCCGCGCGGGGGGCCTGTGTACACACGTGACCGCGCGCCCCGCCCCCCCCGCGTGGCCCCGCCCCCATCACGGCCGCCGGTGCTGGCCTGCTGGCCAGGGTGGTGGAGCCCTTCCGGGACGGGCGGGCGGCGTGTGCAGGGGCAGGCCTGGTGGCAGAGCCAAGGGGCTGAGTCAGTGCGCTCTGAGATAAGGGGCCGGGCCTGGGTGCCTTCAGGAGCACCTGCTGCCGCACTCCCTGGAGCCCCGGTTTCTATGTGCACTGACCTGGCCCCAGGAAGCCACTTAAAGAGACAGTACATGGTGTGAAGCCAGCCCCAAAGCCACTTAAAGAGACAGTACATGGTGTGCAGCCCCACTGACTTTGTAGCTGCTGTTACAACAAAATGTTGGCGACGTTTGAAGACAAGATCCGTTGCTCCACTAACCCCTGTGGTGCGAAAGAACACTGCAGCACACTAAGGTGCGGGCTCCAAGAGCATCTCTTTCTGAAAAAAGTCCGAGTGTGCAGGATGCAGGGTTTGACGTGGGGTCCCTGGGACAGAGCGGGGCAGGCATCATCAGGGCAGGCAGGACTGGGCTTGGCAGGGGACCAGGCCTGTGGTTGAGGGGCAGGGCCGAGTCTCACTCTGTGCGCAGGCCATTCGTAGACCCTTTGCCCCCCACCCCACCCCATGACCCTGTTGGAAATACCTCAACAGACTCTTCAGCCAGCACTCCTGTCCTAGGCCCTCAGAGCTGCCTCTCAGGGCGTAGACTCCCAGAGCTCACCAGCTCTGCACCAGCACCCCCCCCCCCCCGACTGAGCCTCACTGTTGCTGGATGGTGAAAAGAACACCATCTGCTGGTCAAGCTCTGACGCTGCCGAGTAAGCAGCACCCCAACCTGAGAGACTCTCCCACGAGAGACAAGATGTGGTGTCAGTGTGGAAAACGGTCTCCTCATTTTGTTGTCCTGGGCCTCAGAAACTTTTAGCAATGTGCCCAAGGCCACAGAGCAGATAGTGGGGTTTGAACCCAGGTGGTCTCGGGCTTCCTAGATCAGGCCTGGGGACGTCCGGCTGTCCTGGCAGCTGCCTGAGTAGTAGTGTGGCCTTCTTTGTGTGTACGGCCACAAGCCTGGAATCCCTGGGGAACAGCCCTTGGAACACCCAAGGGGCGTCCTGTGGCGAGAGCCTGGCCTTTGGGTTCTCTTGAGCCACTCAAGCCCCAAGGTGGACAGGGTCAGCAGCAGGGCAGGGCTATGTGTGTCCGCAGTGAGAGTCAGCCCACCTCCCGCCAAGCCAAGGTAGCCCTTTGCTGCCAGGAGTGCAGACCCACTCCCAGGCTGTGGCTGACTGAGCCCCCCCCCCCCATGCAGGCTCACTCCCGTGTGAGGCTGGGTGACAATGGGGGCAGCTGCCCTGGCACATGCCACATGTGGACCCAGCTGCGGGAGGCCTGTGCGGGTGAGCCTGATGCTGGGGCTTGTGGCAGCACCCTCATCTGCTGGCATCCCTGCCTTGCTGGGCACTGCAAGGCTCTGCAGTGAGCAGGGAGGCTCCAGCCCAGCACCCAGCTGCAGCAATAGCAGTGCCACTCCATGGACTCTGGAAGCATCCTGGTCGGTCACTGTGCTCACCAGTCCTGAGACTTGGTGCCCTTCCTGTTTGACCTGAATGGCAGTCCATACAAGGGGCTGCCTCCACACCACAGGGACTCTGGACTGCAGGTTGGGGACTTGAGAGCAGCCTGTGCACTGGGGTCTGTTTGCATTTGGCCTTTTTCCTGGGGGCTGGGAAGGTGACGTGGGGATTGCAGCGCCCTGCTGAAAAGGTGGGCTGGCTTTCCTTCTGAAGGTGCAGCTCTTAGCCACAGCACACTTCCTAGGCGGACATGCTCTGTGTGGCCTGTGGGTCAGGGGCCAGGAGTGCTCACAGTGGATTTGCTGGTTATCCTGAGTGCGGTTCATGACAAAGCTGCACTTGGCCCTCTATGTGGCCCCAGTAAGGTGTGAACTTTGGAGAAAGTATGGAGGGAGGGCTGGGTAAGAGCAGTCAGTTCTGAGCTGGGCCGTGGCCCCTCTGTGGTCAGGACAGATCAGTGTGGCTGCCTCCCTGCTGTCACCCCACACAGCCCTGAGTGCCATTTTGCCTGTTCTGCCAGTGCCCCCATCCTCTGGGGTGGCGGGTATCCTCTTAGTGATAGGGAAGGGCCCTGGGTGGGTTTTTGACTGTCCTAAGGGCTCTGGCCTAACAATGAGACCAAGTGGCAATTTTTAGCTAGCGGCTGTGAGCCGCCTACAGCATGCAGTGTGGCCAGTGGAACCGGGTATCTGCCTGCCGACTGTCCCCTGCTCGGTCCTGCTGGGGCTGCATCTGCAGTGGGGCAGGCACACTGGCAGTGTTAGAGACCGGAGCTGTGTTCTGAGTGTCCACTCTGACCCGGCCCGGCCTCCAGGAGCACCCGCCGGGGCAGACCTGCCGATGCCACAGCGGTTCCTCTGGGAGGTGGCACGCATGGGAAGTCGGTGTGGCGTGTGTGCAGAGGACATGTCTTTGTTATTTCTGTGGTGACCCCAGAGGCCCTGCGGGACCTTGGGTACCTGGCACCCAATGTAGAAAGCTCATCCTCACGCCTCTGGAGTAGTCTTAGCAGCAACTCAGCTTCTAGAAGTCCAGCGAGGCAGGTCTGCTCCACACCCTACCCTCACATCCTCAGGCTCCCTGGCTTCTCCTCCACCCCGAGGGGCTTCTGTGCCCCTCTGCCAGGACCGCCTCTCCCCCAGACAGCCAGGCCGCATCCTTGCCTCCAGGTCTCAACTCAGCTATCCCCTGTCTTCCTGGCACCATTTTCTTTGACCTCCATCCTCCCACAGCCTTTCTAAGTCACGATGGGTGCACACACTGGGCCTCTGTCTGCCCTCCACACTGTGGCCTTCCCGCGCACCCCTGCTGCGGGCTGGTGTCTGTCTGCATGGGTGGCTGTGACGGGCACCACAGCATTTACGCCCCTCGGTCAGGAAGGCTGGGGTCCAGCCCCAGCAGCCCCATGTCTGCGGGGGCCACATCCTGGTTCAGACAGCATCTTCCCATTGTGTCCTCCTGGGGCGGACAGGGCCTCTTCTCAGAAGCACTCCTTGGGGCCCCACCCCGTGAACAAGTCACCCCATAGCCCGCCCTCCTGCCATCGTCACATTGGGGGTCAGGGTTCAGCATGTCAGTCTGTGGCAGCAGCACTTGTGTTCGTCCCCCATGGTCTGCCAGCAGGAAGAAGTGGCGTAACATGTTTGTGCAGTGTGTGCCTGTCACATACCCAGGCTTGTGACCAGGAGCCACTGCACTGACTTGGTGTGTAGGGGTTTGAAGGTCTCTCAGTCCCCTCGGGGCGGACCCAGCTGCTGCCTCCAGCTGCTCACTGTAGGTAGGCCTCTTGGTCACAATGTCCCGCTCCACAAGCTGGACCTTGTCCCCAAAGGCCCTGGGGGGCCATATGAGGTACCGTTCTTCTTGGAGGCCCCTGTGCTGCAACCCCCGGGGATGCAGTGAGCAGCCCAGTGCCTCAGTGTATGGCCTGGAGGGACAAGGCACATCTTGCAGGCTGGCCCCAGGTCAGAAGGACCAAGGAGGGAGCACTGGGTGGGACACAGACAGGCCTGGTGCGCTGTGCACCCTCTCTGAGCCTCGGTTTCCTCTCCACTGAATGTGGATGGTGGAGCGGTTGGGAACGTGAGATCCTGGGCCACATGTCCCTGCATGTGGTGTCCTCAGCCAGTACCCATCCTGCTGCCAGGCTGGCCCCGCATCCTGTCCCCCAGGGCAGCCCGTCACAGGACTGAACTAGGGCTTGAGAAAGTGGGCAGCAAGCCCTTGGGTCTGAGTGCTGACCCGGAAAGGCACCAGGAGGTCAGCACATAGGCACACTGGCATCCCAAAGACCCAGCAGTGAGCTCATCCCATGGAACCAGCAACCTCAGAAACTTGAAAATGCCTCTGAGTCTCACCCTCATCTGTGCAGTGGGGACAGGTGCCAGCATCCCCAGGGTTAAACAAGAAAGCCCTTTTGCGGGGAAATGGCATAAAACCGCAGTGGAACAACAATAGAAGAGGGAACAAAAGCACTGCCCTCCCACCCATCTCCCTTCATGCCTCCCCTATCTGCCCCCCCCGGGGGGGTCTCTGGGAACAGTGGGAAATGGCCAAGAAGAAAAATAGGGAAATACGTGTCTTGGCTCCAGACCATGGAGATCCTTATCAGGCTGGGAAGTCACACCCAGAGCAGGAAGCCCACACCCACTAGCGTGCCCTGTGGCTAAGGGAAGAAAGGGCTTCTAGAGAACCCCTCAGCAGCCCAGGTACAGGGCATCCTGCCACCCCTGGGGTCCAACCTTTGCCAGAGCTGATGGGTGAGGCAGGCTGGGTGCCCCCAGAACCTAGTGAGGGCCCTTGGGTGGGGCCGGCAGACTCCTGACTGCTGGAGTGTGGTTTTTCTTGGATCATAAAGTTGACCTGCAGTCTTGCCTTAGGTGAGGGAACAAAGCTGTAGAAGGGGTTGACAGTGTGCACCAGGCAGGAAAGAGGGTGTGTGACTCACGCTTTGGTTCCGTGAGCCTTGGTAGAATCCCACTTTTTGCTGGACGCCAGTGCAGTGGCACTAGCTCCTCTCCTTGTGGAGCTGAGGTGTGGGAGCTGTTCGTTCGTGAGAACTCCAGGAGGGAGAGCAGGGGGCTGCGCAGTGAAGTAGACAAGGTGTCCCTGAGGTTGCATGTGACCTGCGAGCTCTGGAGGCAAGGGGAGTAGCCTGTGCAAAAGCCCTGGGGGCTCTGGCAGCCCAGGTTCTAAGGGCCTACGGTCATGTGGGAAAGGGGACAGCGCACGGGGCCCAAACCTGAGAACGTCTTGGGCCCATGTTACGTGCAGAGAAATGCAGAGCAACTGAGAGGGGGAGGGTGCTAAACTGCACCCGTTGGATTTCCTGCCTCCTAGGTTGGTGAGCCATCAGGGAGGGCTGGAAGCAAGGCCTGGCAACAGGCCGGGCTGTGGCCCAAGATGCGGCCGGAGCTCCCCACCTCCCCGCCCCGTTCGCTCTCCTGCACAACCCCGAGAATGAGGGAGCCGGTGCCCACCACACTCCGGGCAGGGCTGGCGTGCGAGGATCCCTGCGCGCGTGCGGCGACCTGGCCACGCCCCCTCCCAGCCGGGACCAGAGGATGCCCGACGGAGAGTCCCGCCCATGCGCTGAGCGCCTGCGCACTTGTATCACCGTACAGCCGGCTCGATCTGGTTCGAGCCGAGCCCGGGTGGCCTGACATGCGCAGTGCGCGAGAGTGAGGGTGGGGGCGCGGGCCTGGGTAGACCCGGCAGCCGGGGACTCCGAGGTCAGTGCGCCAAGCCCGGGAGTGGAGCCGCGGGGCAGGCGCGGGGTGGGGGGGCGGGGTGTCTGTCCTGCCCGAGCACTCTGCAGGGCAGGGGCAGGCTGTTCCCGGAGGAGTTGCGGGGGTGTCGTGGCTGGGTGGACGCCCCAGACCCACTGCGTCCCCGTGAGGGCGTGGTGTCCCTCCCCCACTGGGTTGGGTCGGGGTTGGGGGGCGCTTCGCTGTCGTCCTAGGGTCACAGCACGGTGCCCCACCTATCCCCCTTCTTCCCTGACCCTGGTTACAGACCAGGGAGGGGCGCTGCGCCCGGGAGACCTCGGGTGCCCACGGATCCTCCTCGGGCTGCCGGAGCTCTATGTGCGGAGCCCTAGGTGTTCCATCCTCAGCTCCAGGCCCTGTGACCCTGGGCAAGCCCCCTTGGGTCTCCCACACTTTGTCCCATCTTCTTATCCGTAGAACGGGGGAGCGGTGTAAGCCACGTCCCTGCCCCCCAACGCGGACCAGCCTGTCATCGCTCCTCCTCTTCCCAGGAAGAGTGTTGATCGTTCTGACCGGTGGTGAGGGCCTTCGAAGCCCCGGCCTCCGTTCATCTGCAAGGCCCACCCCCTGGCACTTTAACACCCGGGTTCTAGAGCAAAATCCCACAGGGTGTTTGCCATTTCGCTTGCGAAACTACTTAGCTGTAACTTATTAAGAATGTGACCTTTCCTTTTTTATTGTTGTGTACGCTTAGGAATTCTTGGAAAGTTGGGAAAACCTAGCCTATGGTTTGCTACTGTGGTGAAATCATTTTGAAAAGTACCTTCAGCAATTAATGAAATGGACATAATGATACACTTTATAGAAATTTAATGCAACGTTTGTTTTGATTTTGCTGTTTCTTTATCTTGGGGCCAATAACGTGTTTTGTTTTGTTTTATCTGTAGCTCAAACCTTTTTCGGACCCTGGATGCCCTGGAGGGCAGCAGGATCCCGTAGGGCCCCGGGCTGGGGTGGGAGAGGAAGGGGCCGGAGGAGAGAATACTTTCTCCGAGTGTTTGCCCTGCCCTGGAGTCACAGTCATGGCATTTTTTTTTCTTCCTGCACCCGGCTCGGAGGCCACCAGGGAGGAACCCTGTTGGAAAGCCTTGTGCAAACTTTTTTTTCCCCCTGAGGGAATAGCAGCTGTCAGAGGGCTTGCCTCCCACGCCTGCTCCTGGAGTCCAGGCCCCCTCCATTGAAGTGGCAAGCAGGTGTCCGTTAGGTTTGGGGGGTGCGGCTTGCACATTTTAAGAACGAGATTGTCTAAAGTGGCAAGGTTAGTGCTGCTAAGTCAGCAGCAACCGTCATCTGCTCTCAGAAGACTGGGAAGTGCATTTTCTGTCTATTGAACAGGATTTCTAGACTGGGTTGCACTTCCTGTGCTTAGTACCAGTTAGCTCTGCCCGTGGTAGCTGGCTGTCCACCTGCAAGAACCGCCTTGCCAGGTGAAAGCATAGGCAGCGATGGGGTCCTAGTCAGTCCCATGTTTCCAGGTGGAAGGGCGGACGTGTGCAGGCCAGTACCTGCAGAGTGCCGTGGCCTCAGCAACGGGGAAGCGTGATGTAACACGACCTTTGCCTTCCGGTGTGGGGCCAGTGCTGGGGCGTTCGTTGCAGAGCCTGGCTCCGTGTGAGGCACAGTCAGCCTGGCAAACCCACAGGCAGCGTCCCAGTGCTGGGGTCAGGGGGGCCTGCTTGCTGTCCCAGAGGCTCAGCTGAGGTTCCAGGGGACAGTGGGGTCGGCAGCCTAGGGGATTTGGGGGTCTAGGAGGGCTGGTCTTGGAGCCAGGACCCAGGGCTTGGCCCCTGCCTCTACAGCGTGGTTGGCTGTTTCCTTTGGGGAGTGGTGTCCCCGGGAACTGTGTCCAATGTCTGGGCTGCCTCTGGGCCATGGGAAGGGACTGTTTTAGGGATCCTTCTTGCTCTTCAAGGCCAAAAGGGCTGGGTCCTGCTCATGCTCGGCAGAGGAAAGCCATTCTCTCATCCCTCATGGGGATGGAGCTGCCACCAGGCCACCGTGTCAGCCTCCTACCCCTGACACCCCCACTGTGTGCTGTGATCTCCCCCAGGATGCAGCAAGGCCCTGAAGGCCACGTCCCTGGCTGCCCAGCAGCAGGGGAGCAGGCAGTCTGTGTGCCCGTGTGGCTCCCAGCCTTCGGGCACCACTGCTCACGTCTGAGTGAGCATGTCCCGTGAGTCCTGCCACAGCCAGGTGCCGCTCACACCCCAACTGAACACAGCTGGGCCACGGGCCGGGGCAGTGCTCTGGCAGAGGTGCTAGGGCCACCCAGGTCCCTCATTGGGTCCATACTGTTCCCAGGCCCTTTGGTAACGGTGCTAAGGCGTTCTCCCTGGGGAGGCCTACCCGTGCATCACCTTGGGAGGTGGGAGGCTGTTGATTGGAATTTCTACCAGTCGGGACCGACTGTGGCAGAGGAGGCTAGCTGTGACTGGTTTTCTCTGGCTTACAAGGTGAAGGGGGAGGGGATATGTTTTTCACTTTCAGGGACACCTGTCATTTGTCTCTTCTGGTCAGCCCCAGGTCCCAGTAGGCACACCGGTGCCTTTCCTGTCAGACTGTGGCCCCTCATCAGCTCAGGGCCCAGAGGGGACCCCCAGGGACCTCTGCCCCAGCTCTGCCCCCCTCTTCCCTGCCAGGGTCCCTGTGTCAGCCTGAACTGGGGAGCCAGCCTCCCAGGGGGCTGCCGTGACGTCCACCAAGGATAGTTCCACCTCGTGGCAGTGGCACAGACCTTTGCATTGCCGGAAACCCAGCCATCTCAGAAAATCACCTTCTCAGGACAGAGTGGGTCTGCCTCCTGCCAGTGGTGCTCCTCAGGGGCACCTCCCCCACTGCAGAGAGTGGGGGAGGGGAGAGGCTGGCCCAGTCAGCAGACTGCACAGCTCCTCCTGGGAACCTGGGGGGTCACACCTCTCCAGGGGAACTGAGAAGTTGGTCACATGCAGCTTTGGGAGACCTGTAGGGCCTGGCTTGTATCTCAGGCTGAACTGTTGAGCTTCAGGGACATTTAAAAGGTCTTACAGTGCCGGTTCCTCCCACCTGGCTTTGGTGCCTGGAGCTGTACGTTGTGTGCTATGTGTATTGGCATGTGACATTCAGTTCTTGAGTTAAAAGGCAAGAATAAAGTTAAATTTTCAGTGTGTCTTCTGAAATTCAGCTCTGCTGCCAAAGGGCTCCTGTGGCCACCCCATCTCCAACGGTCTGGAGTCTCCAGTTCGAGGGTGTCTCGTTGCACGCGGCCTACTGAGCCCCGAGGGTGGCCTCTGCTGCAGCAGTCTGTGGCGAGGGCAGTGTGCCCACACCTGCTGGAGCTGGGACTAGGTGTTGGCTCCTAGCTCCCCCTGCATCTGGGATGCAGACCCCCATGAGCCAAAGCCACAGTCAGTGTGGAAGGCCCTCCCAGAGCACTGGCCTGTCCTGCACTTGCGCTGTGACCATAGAGAAGACTTTACTCCTCAGTCCTTGTCACTAAGCTGGGGAAGGAGGTGGCTCCATTGTATTCTGGTGTCTGAGCCCTGGGACAGGGTTCCCTGTGGGCATTGCTGTGAAGAGGGCCCAGCAGGTACCCTGCAAGCTGGGAGCGGAGGGGAAGGGAGGGGCGTCCCAGGGAGAGCCTGGCCTGGTTTGGGCAGGCAGCAGATGGTGGCAGTGCTAAGGGCTTGGGGGTCAGGGTTCAGCTCTTAGCCCCATCTCAAATTTGGGGAGTTTGAACCTGCCTGAGAAAGTCCATCTCCAGCTGCAGTTCAGCATTTCCTTCCACCGTGACTGTTGGCAGCAGACCACGGTGGCATGGGCACAGTCCAGGCAGAACTCGGCCCAATGCTGCCCGTACCTGGCTCTGCCTGTAGTCACTGACTGTCCGTGGTGACGAAGGACCAGTGACCTTTCTTACATTCCTATCTTTCCTCGCGTGTCCCGTGGGTTGTTTGGTGCACTTCAACACCTGAGATGGGGTCTGCAGGAGCCCAGCGCCACAAGGAGGCCTCCGCCCGCCCAGCCCTGCGGGGCGGCCGCGCTCCCTGTCCTCCAGGAGCTCGCTCATGTCGGCTGTGCGCTCCTCGAGGCCAGAGCCCGCGTCCGCCTCAGCGCCAGCGCTAGCGCCAGCTGGGACCCTCGACATTCACGGAGTCCCCCAGCTCTGGAGGACACGCTGTGCTGTCATCAGAGCTTACGTGGTTCACCCTGCAGCAGCCTCCCAAGTTGCTGGTGTGCGGATTCCCGAGCCACTTTGTGTGAGGACACTGCAACCAGTGCAGGGAGAGTTGGCCATTGTTCCTCAAGGCAGCAGCCCAGGCAGGTGTGCCCATCGCCTAGCTTGGCGTTTTTGGCTGAGGGAAGAAGGTTGGGGGACTAGCCTTCAGAGACCGTGACTGGGCGCCTGTGTTCTCCGTGCTGTCGACTGGGATGTGTCGGAGTGTGTGTCATGCAGCTCTGGTCTTGAAAAAGGCCAGCTGACCCTAGTGGTGGCCTGGGCCCTGGCTCTGTAGGTCTAGCGCCAGGAAGCTGGGTGCCGGGCCCGAGTGGCACGTGTCCTTACTGCAAAGTAAAGAGTTTTGAATCAGAGGGTGGCCCCCCGTTCGATTCCCAGTTAGGGGACAGGCCTGAGTTGTGGACCAGGTCCCCAGCAGGGGGCACTACACATCAGTGTTTCTCTTCCTCTCTCCTTCCATTTTTCTCTAAAAGTAAATAAAATCTTAAAAAGGAATTGTGGGAAACAGTCTGCCTTTTTAGTTGTTTTTGGGAAAAGTAATTTGCTACCATGCGTTACCATTTTGAATTTTAATAATTGGGATCTTAAGTCTGGTGAACGTTTACGCTCTGGCATGTGTAGGAGGAGACCTTGGCTTCGGGGCAGAAGGAGGGAGGCTTCTCAGCTGGAGAGGTGTGGGGCTGGCTTTGGGGCACGAGACTTGAAGGATCAGCAGACAGCAGCCCACTGCACCGTGACTTATGAGGGGCCTCTGGCCAGTGGCTGCCCTTGTGTCTGCGTCTGCGAACAGTGCAGAGCCCGCAGCTGTGCCACCCCCACCAGCAGCCCTGACCCCGCTCACATCCCTTCCTCCTAACCCAGTCCGCACCCCAAGTGCGGCTGCTTTGCAGTGTGTGTCCCTTGTCAGTATTCAACATGCATTTCCCAGCCCACTAACTGTGGGGTAGTTGGTGGGTGGGTTTTGCCTGGGCTTAGAGAGGTGGTGGGTGGAGGGGCTCCACCTGAAAACCCGGGTGCTTCAGCCAGCCGGTCCCCAGCCCACCTCTGCTGGGGTCCTGCCATCCAACCAGTGGCATCCAGCAAGGACCAGGCAGGTGAGCTGTGCCACCGCAGGCCTTTCTCTCCCGGGCGTGGTCTGAGCACAGCTGCCTGCCTGCCTTGCTGCCTGTGTAACTGCCATGCCAGCCCTGTGTCCAGTGCACTTGCAGGGTGTCCAACCTGCAGCCCAGCAGCGCACAGTCGTGAGTTTACTCAAACCACAGATGTTTTTTGTGATTGTCACAATGTATTTAGTGTGGCCCAAGACACCCAGCGGTTGGACTGCCCTGTAAGTTGAAGGAGTGGGCATGGCCCTGGACCGTTTCCTGACCCTTAGCGTGGTGCTGCCCAAGGAGAGCTGAGTCCTGCCACCCCACCCTCTTGCCCCGTGGTGAGAAGGCTTCCTGTGCCGAGTGACAGGCACCTCCCTCTGGCCCTGACCTTCTGCCAGCAGCAGGGTTGGGCAGTGGCTTCGCTTCTCCTTGGAGCTTCTGAGTCCTCTGACCCTCCACCAAGGCCCAGGCCGCGGTCCTGGTAGGCAGGCCCCGGGCAGTGGAGTGGCCTGAGAAGGCAGCCCCGCACACGTGTGTGCGCCTGGGGCCTTGGTCACAGAGTTTGGGTCACTGCGGGGTCAGGGTCAATTCTTGGGTCTTCCTTCTCCTGCTGGAGGTTTTCTCATGCCACGCTTTAGAAAGAGAGTGCCCAGCAACTCTGAGGGGGTCACACTGTCACGCAGACAGGCAGAGAGTCTCTTCTATGTAGGGCACAGAGCTGCCTCGGGGCCTGCTCCACCCCCACCCCCTCCACGCTATGGGCTTCCCCGCAGACCCCACCAGGGAAATCATTCCCCTTGCCTTAGAAACTCATTCTGAGTATCGAGGTCAAGTAGCTCCTTGTTTTCCAAGTGGGAAGTTCCAGAGGGTTTGGTGGTTTGTCTTCGTTCTCCAAAGCCAGTGGTAGGCTAGCTCGGTCCCTGGTCCCGGGGGTGTGTCCACACCCTCCGCCACCACAGGGCTGCCCCATTGAGCCTTCTGTTGTCAGCAGATGGCCGTATATGGCCAGGGGCAGCAGCCCCCACTCTGTGTCCTCAGCAGGCAGTTCCTCTGCCTGGGTTTCTGGGGCATCCAGGGCCACGGCCTCCTTCCCCCAGCTCACTTAAAGGACAGCGCCCTGTCGCTGCTCCGGGAGACACAAGGGCTTCTCTGCAGTACAGAGCTAGTGTTGACCCTCGCTGGGCCAGTGGCGGTGGCTGGACCGCCTGTGTCTGGGTGGGGCTGACCCCCAGCGGCACCCCTTTCCAGCCCCAAGGCTCAGGGCAGCTGGACGGACTGTTCAGCCGGGCGCCCCACACGCTCTGTCAACTTGTCAACAGCACCGTCCGGTGGGAAGGCATGGTCTGCGAGCGTGGGTCAGACTGCAGTGGTCAGGGGCTTGGGAGGAGTAGTGACCCAGTCTCCACCAGGTGAAGGAGTGTGCCTGCCATCTCATTGGGCAGAAAGCCCACCTGGCCCATCCAGAGCCTCCAGGCCAACTTCCCAGGGCTGCACTTGGGGGCCCTCTCTGAAAGGACAGAGAGGAGGGGGCAGAGGCTCTCCTGGTGCTGTGGGCGGCTCTGTCCCGTCCCTGCTCCACCTCAGCGAGCCCTGGCCTCCCACAGGCAGGGCCCAGGCACAGGCTGCCCGGTGCACAGACCTGGCGCAGCACATGCCAGGCGCACCCCTCACTGTGCCCCCGGTCAGACTACACTGTGCCTGCAGCTGCCGGCCAGCGTGGGTGCCGGCCCCCGTGTGCTGCGGCACCCAGGCCTCCCAGTGAGAGTGCGTCGCAAACTGGGCGTCTCGTCCCCAGAGGCCAGGGGGGAGAGCTCGGGGTGGGAGACTCTGCCCTCTTGTTCTGCACCCGCCTCCTTCCCACTGCGTCCCGGCAGGCTCCCCTGGAGAACGGCCCGTCCGTAGGGGTCTGTGGGGTGGCAGCGTGTCCTGGGCCAGCAGGGCCCACCCATCTCTGCCCCGTGTGGCTTTCTTAAGACCCCTCCTCCCTTCCACCCAGGCTCACACAGGCAGCGTCGTTTCTGTCCCTCCTGCTGCCCTGCCTGTGCCTGCCCCACAGGGCTCCTGGGCCTGCCGGGTGTGTAGGGAGCCCTTGGGGAGTAGGCGCGGCTCTCCTCTGGAGCAAGACCTGACCAGGCCCCTCCGGGTCATGGCCGATGGCAGAGACCTGTTCTGGGACAGCCGGGGCCCTGAAGGTGCCCCCTCATGGGGCTGGTGTCCCCCACCCCCCAGACCTCCGAACCTGCCTCTTCCCTTGGAGCTGGTGTTGCCAGGAGGGCCCAGCTGCCCCTGCCCAGCCCTGACCCTTCATCAGGACCTTGGCCAAGCAGCAGGGCATTGCCTGCACCTCCCACAGCTGGGCTGATGGCCGTGGGCACTCAGGCTCTGTCAGTGACCACAACCCACCCCTGTTCAGCACAAGTGCTGCACAAGCCCCTGCTGTGCCTCCTCCGGGTGCCTCTGGCAGCAGCCAAGGTCTCTGTGTGCACAGCAAGTGCGGTGCCCCGGCCACTGTGTGTCCCAGGCCCATCAGGAAGCTCCGCCGGCCTGGTGGTCTGTGAGCCCCTCACCAGGAGCGGAGCTCGCGTGTGCCTCTTGGCAGGGCTGCTGCCCTCACTCCGTCCCCCGACCTTGGCCCTGATGCTGGTCTAGTCCAGCTGGTTTTTAAGGGGGTAGGGGCTGGGCAGATCTGGAAGTTCTTGGTTATAGAAGATTCCAGAAGGAGGGGGTGTCAAGAGGGAACACAGAGGTCAAGGTCTTGGCATTCTATGCGTGGCCCGTGGGAGAAGAGGGCACGACCCCTTCCTGGGAGCTTAGGGCCTGAACCAGAGTGAACACACTGGGGCGCCATCTTCCCCAGGGACCAGTGTGGGGTCACCCCACAGCCCCCCCCCAGTGTGGCTCTTGTGTGGTTGGTTAGCTGAGGGGGAGGAGGTCTGTGCTTTCCTGGTGGGGTGGCTGGGGGAAGATCGCATCGGGAGGCCGCAGCCCTGTGAGTCAGAGCCCACAGCCCTCCTGCTGCCCTCCGTCAGAGGAGCCTGTGTCAGGAGGGCTCAGGAGATGCCCACTGAGTCCTGCTCTCAGCCCGGCCTGGCACCCTGCAGGGGCGGGAAGGCGGCCACTCTGACGGGCACAGGGGTGGCTCAGAGGGACAGTGGTGCTGGGCCCCCAGGCTCCCGGGGCAGGGAACCCTGAGCAGCCCCTCCCTCCCTCAACACAAACCTCACTCAGGGGCCTGGGGTGAGGGCAGAGCTTCCAGAGACCCTGACAGGCAGGCCCCCTTGCCTTTCAGAGAGATGGCGTATGCTCAGACCCAGAGCTGACCCCGGAGCTGACCCCCGAGGAGAAGAGGGTGCTGGAGAGGAAGCTGAAGAAGGAGCGGAGGAAGGAGGAGCGGAAGCGGCTGCGGAAGGCGGGTGCAGCCCCGGCCCAGCCCTTGAGGGCCCAGCGCTCCCGCGCCCAGCTGGCCCTGGACTACCTCCGGGGGTGAGAGGCTGCGGCCAATATGGGGACTGGAAGGGACACGGAACCTGGGGACCTGGTTGAAATCTGGCTCTCTTGGGACTACTGGTTGTGGGTCGCTTCCCAGCGTCACCTCAGGGTGTTTGGGGGCTGCAGACCCTCCTCAGCATGGCAGCATCCATTAAGACGGGACGGTGGCCTCCATGGGCTCTGCCCCTGGGCTGCTGTCCCCGTGAGGGCTTGGGACTGGGGACATCCACAAGGCAGGAGGTCAGGGTTTTCCATTTAAGCTGACGATGTCTCTGTGGGGACCACGTCTTCAGGCAAGTTGCCCCCTTTCCTCCATGAGCCCTTCCTCGGCCTGTGGAAGCCACATTGTGCCAGTCGAGCTAGAAGGAGGCGGGCGGGGTGAGAGGTGGGCGGGGCGAGAGGCAGGCTGTGCCCCTGGGTCCCAGGCACCCTCTGTACAGCATATGAGAAGGACCCAGTGTGCTGGGGGTGGCTTGTTCCGGGTCAGGCCAGCTTCTAGGCAGAACGGTGGGCCGACTCAAAGGTGACGCTGCACAGGGGTCAGGGCACGGGCCTCCCACGTCTGCAGCCTGCTACCCAGGCTGGTTCCTCAGGCCCAGTCTGGGCACCAGAAGGGACCTTCCTCTGTCCCTCAGTGAGGTGACATGTTCTAGTGAGGCCAGGAGAGGGGATGGCAGGGAGCTACCACATAGACACCCAGCCCCTGCGCTCTAAGGGTAACCGAGAGCAGGAGCCGCTGCCAGAGAGCTGGGTGGGACACATGAGGACAGTGGTGGGGCAGAGTAGGAGACACTGGGTATCAGAGGGTGAATCGCCCAGGGCCATGCTGGTAAGAGGCTGAGCCCAGGTGGGAGTTGAGGCCAGAGCCCTGGGAGGCCGTGGTGGCCCGTTCTGGCCTGGGGCCTGCTCTGTGGCGGCCACGTGAGGCTCCCGGGGCCCTGGGGAGAATGTGTCTGCGTTTGGGTGGTGTGTGCTCCCAAGGCGTGTGTGCGGAGGGGGCCAGCCAGGCCTCCCTGCCCTTCCAAGTGTAGGCACGGAGTCTGCGGCCAGAACAGTGCGTGCACACCTTCCCCCAGCTGCCCTGGCCGTTGGTGCCCTCGAGTCCCAGACCCTGAGGCTTCCCCCAACCACTTCAGAGAGCCAGCCCTGCTGTCCTAGACAGAACGCCACCTACTCTGATGTGTCCCCTGCACAGACCATGTCCAGGTGTCTGCTCCCTCCTCTTCCCGGGTGCCTCCCTCCCCCGTGGGCTCCACCTCCAGCCAAACAGTGAGGCCAGCCGCCGTCCTGGGCTCAGGGCTGGTGCAACCAAGGCTGCGTTCTGTGATGCTGACATCTGAGCAGCTCAGGCCACATGGCCTTTGGGGCCAAGGCCCCTGGCTCCTCCCTGCGTTCTCTGTCCTCCTCCGTGCTTGGCTCAGGCCCCTCACTTCAGAACAGTCATGGAAAACCAGGGAGTTGTCGAGTGGGCAGGAAATGGCCCTGGGGCCTCTGGCACTTTTGTCCTGGCTTGGTCGAGGACCCCAGCAGTGTGTGCGTGCATCCTCCCACCCAAGCCCCTGACCCCTCTGCTACATATCGGCACTCTTGGGGTGTGAAGGTCCCCCTAGGACTCCTGCGGACACCCTCCGCCACCCCCAGCCAAGAAGAGGCCGCCCAGGCCCGTCAGCAGGCACAGACCCCCGCCCTGTCTGGTGCCTGACGGGTCCTGTCCTTGCTTCCCCAGCTGGGCCCAAAAGCAGGAGGACTGGAGGTTTCAGAAGACGCGGCAGACCTGGCTGCTGCTGCTGCACATGTATGACAGCAACCAGGTATGTGCCCCAGGTGCAGCCCCCACCCCTCTCTCTCTGCCCTGAGCCCCAGGAAAGCAGAGCTGGGTGGAGGTGGATTCCTCCACACCCCTGCCGTCGCTGCCCCGACACCTCCCAGGGTGTCACCCTCCTGGACGGGGCTGTGGCCTGGACTGAAGTACGGCCCCACCAGCCCTCGGGACAGTGGAGCAGGCATGGTGTGGGCTCTTTGCAGGTACTGCCTGGCCACCCAGGCCCCTTGGTCCCTGGTTCCAGGACTCTGTGGGCTGGACAGTCCCCTTGTGGGCACAGGCCAGGACCCGGGGCCCACTCCACAAGCATCTATTCCTCCAGGCTCAGCATCCACCCCCAGCCCCCCCTGCTGGCGTGCTGAGCAGCCCTTGCTGCCTCCCATCCAGGTCCCAGAGAAGCACTTTCCCGCCCTGCTGGCCTACCTGGAGGGGCTGAAGGGCAGGGCTCGAGAGCTGACCCTGCAGAAGGCTGAAGCCCTGATGCGGGAGCTGGACCAGGCGGGCACTGATGACCTGGACCCACCCCTGCAGGCAAAGACTCGGCGTGTCCGGCAGGTGCTGCAGCTGCTCTCCTAGGGGCGGTGGCCATGAGAGGCCCTGCCAGCCTGGGGGCCCCACCTTGGACTGCCTCCTGCCAGTGGGGACAACAGGGTCACCAGCAGGCCAGGGGCTTCTGGGTCTGGGGCCTCTTCCTCTTGACACCCGACCTCTGGAAGGACCTCCCGCAGCAGCCCCTCCTCGCCAGAGCTGTCGAAAGGCGGCCACAGGCTGACACCTGACGGCGCACACACCCTGTGCAGCAGCCTGGGGCCCCGGGAAGGAGCTTGTGGGGGAATGCCTGGTTCCTCCCGGGGGCTCTCTCGGAGTGTCCAGAGCCTGCTTCCCACCAGCTGCGGGCCGCCCATGTGGGGCTGGGGGCCCCTCCCGCGCAGGCCATGCATCTGCTGGCCGCTGGCCTGCCCTCAGCAAGCATGCCGGGCTGTGGCTGCCCACCTCCCACTCCTCCTCAGGCAGAGCCTGGCCTTGTTACCCAGCTGCAGGGAGACCTGGCTGTGTTTTCAATTAAAGCAGCGCCCCCCTTACCCTGGCTCCTCCTGTGTGGTCTGTCCTCGCTTGCAGGTGGGAAGAGGGCTTCCCAAGAGGGGAGTGTGCTGGCCACAAGGCCAGCTGTAGCCATGGCCTCCCCAGGATGCACCCATGAAGCTGCCGGTCGACCCTTTCTCTGCAGGCGACCGTTTGCAGGTGGCAGCAGGAACACAGCTTGGCCGCCCACAGCCACCCAGCTGGAAACACTCCTGCCGTCTGTGTGCATGAAGACGGGACCTGCTCCTCGTCCCCAGAGGCATGCACACATCGAGCCCCCAGGCGTCCCAGCACCAAGGGCTGGGGGCTGCGTTCAGGGCAAGTGGGGCGGCAGGGCTGGGCACGTCCACGCAGCAGCCTGCTGGTACCCTGGACGCCCTCAGACAAGGGGTGGAGGAGGGGACAGCGGCTGCAGCAGCCACCTGGGTCCTGGTCCCGTGGGGCGGTCACATGTGGAGGTCGGGTGGGCGCTGAGGCGCCAGCGAGGGAAGCAGAGGTGAGCCGCCTCCCCGAGCGCGGCTCCCACTTCTGGTCCCCACACTGTGTCGTGGGGCCTCAGTGGGCGCAGAGCACGGAACTGCATGGAGCGAGCAACCTGGTGACGTTGCGAGTGGCAGTGCAGCCCTGGCCGGGTGGCCCAGTCAGTCTGAGCATCGTCCCGATACGCCAGGGTTGCAGGTTCAGCCCCAGTCAGGGCACAGACAAGGACCGACCAATGAATGAGTAGATGAGCAGAACACCAAATCAGTGTTTCCTCCTTTCCTCTCCCTAAAATTAATAAAAGCGATTTTTTTTAATGACATGCTTCCTTGGCTGGTGTGTGTCTCAGTGGGTTGAGTGCCAGCCTGCAGGCCAGCTTGATTCCCAGTCGGGGCACTGGCCTGGGCTGTGGGCCAGGTCCCCAGTAGGGGGCGCTCGAGAGGCGACCACACACTGATGTTTCCCTCCCTCTTTCTCCCTCCCTTCCTCCTTCTCCCCTCCCCATCTCTCTAAAATAAATAAAATCTAAAAACTTTAAAACATGACAGTGCTAATGAGACTGAGCTGGGCACCAGTTCTGCCTGCAGACCCTTCACTCCAGGGTCAGGCTGGGCCTTCTTGTAGATACGCTGGGCTGGGCCCACTAGGTGACCTGGGCAGGGGGGGCGGTCATGGCCTCAAGCAGCCTCCAGACCTCGGCTGGTGCCCTTCAGGCACCTGAGCCTCAGTCTTCGTCACCCTGAAACACCACGTCAGGGAGGGCTCCTGAGTGGCAGAGGTAGGACCCCAAGGGAGGTGACCCTGCCAAGGAGGGACCCGCTTGTCCCAAGGGGCCAGGGCAGATCCCTTGCTGACCACTTGGGGCCTTGGCCCCCACTCACCTGCAGCCCAGAGCTCTGGTCTCAGGGTCATGGAGCCCTACTCTGCCCAACACCCAGGCCTGCCGGCCGGCCAGCCCACCCTCCACACTGCACTGCAGCTGGTGCAGCCGCATCCTGATCTCATGCTCACGCTGACAGGCATGCCTCTGCGCATGCCCATGCGTGCACACCCTCACACACAGTCACATGCATACATGGGCACATGCCAGGTATAGAGCCACAGGCCCTGCAGGGCGCAGGCAGCCACCAGGCCCTCTGGGACGTGCGCTCCTGCCCCTCCCATGTGGCCCCATGGGTGCTGATGGGCCCAGCAGTGTCTCCCCAGAAGTCCTGGGAGCAGAGGCCACAGCCTGAGCATGTCCCGGGGAGTTTGCTCACAGCTTGCTGGCCAAGTTGCTCTGGTTCTCATGCACTGGGAGGCCCCTGCAGTGCAGCTGGGGGCCAGCTTCCCGTGGCCCTGAAGTCCCTCCCCTCGAGACCTGGAGACAGCACTAAGCACAGGTGCTCGGAGGGCCCACCCACCCACCACATCAGTCCTGCAGGCATCCCGTGTGCCCCCTGCCCGACCTGCAGGGCGCTGGCCCTGTCTGTGCAGCTGGCGGGGGCCAGGCCCCGTGCAGTCCCTAGGATGGGGGACGTTGCATCCCATCTGTGTGGCGTGTGGCTGGCAAACACCCCCCATCTCAGGTTCCATGGTGGTGAGTGAGATGACATGCTCACTCTCAATTTTATTAGATTGTTCTCCCACTTGAGAGTGGGGGCCTGGCTATTCCCATGTGGGACCCCCAGCGCCTCACTGGCCTACTTCTCCATGGAGGAGATGAGGGGAGAGGCCACGGAATGGGGCCCAGTGGGGCCTGGGGCGGTGGAGGCAAGGGTTTCACCAGCCAGACAGACTTGAAGGAGAGGGGGCACCAATGGGCTGTGGGGGGCCCAGCAGAGGCTGTGGTGGGGGTGTGGTCCTGCTGCAGACAAGGGCCTGGGGGGGAAGGGACAGATGAACAGAGGTCGGGGCCTAGCTGTCCTGGGAGAGGGGGGAGGGGATTGAGGACTGAGATGCAGGGTCCTGGAAGGTGGGCTGCCCCCATGAGCCCTGGGGCAGGCTCAGCCGGAGCCACACAGGCTGCAGCTGCGAGGGCCCTTGGGCAAAGCTCTGCATGGGGCCTGTGGTAAGAGGAGGGGCCCAGGGAGGGACCTCGACCCACACCCACCCCAGGCCCTGGGAGTCTGTCCAAAGCACAGGGCAGACCCCTCAGTCAGTGTCCCTGGAGCCTGGGCACTGCGCACAGGGCCTGGGCAGGCGGCCGCATGGTGAAGGCTGGGGCGGGCACGGTGTCCAGGTCCTCAGGGCGGAGGCCAGGTGGGGGCAGCAGGCGGAAGCCCCGCAGGAGGCCGGCAAAGAGCAGGAACAGCCCGGTCCGGGCCAGGCCCTCCCCCACGCAGACACGGCGGCCTGTGGGGAAGTCGAGGCCCAGGGTGGGGGCTGCCCAGGGAGGCGGGGGGAGGGCAACTTGGGAACCAGGCCTGCAGTGACGGGGACCCAGGTCAGCTCTGGGCAGGCAGGGTGGGGGTGGCAGCAAGGGACAAGCCTGGGGTGCCCAGTGACCAGGCCGCCCAGAGGTGGGGGTGAGGCCCAGGCCCACCCAGAGGGAGGGAGGGCGCCGCACCTGCAGAGAAAGGCAGGAAGGCCTCACGCTTCACAAAGTGCCCACGGGCGTCCAGGAAGTGTCCCGGGTTGAACTGGCGGGGGGTCTCCCACTGCGTCTTGTCCAGGAGCACGGAGTTCAGCAGGGGGACCACGGGGGTGCCCTGCAGGTGGGGCAGCCGGCGGCCAGGCTCAGTGCCCTGTCCACTGGGGCAGGCCCCAGGCCGGAGCACTGAGAGAGAAGGTCCCAGGGGGCCCTTAGCCAGCTGGGGCGGGGCCACTCCCCTGGTGCGGCCCTGGAGCCAGGACCCAGGTCTGCTGCTCTGGAGCCCCTTCCCCTGCCTCCCCATGAGAGGAAGCCCTGGCATCAGGCACTCCAGGGCCCCACCCCCAGTGGAGAGGAGAGAGGGAGGGAGGGTGGGGGCCAGGCCCAGCCGCCCCACCTTGGGGAGCAGGTAGCCACGCAGCCAGGTGTCGGCCGCTGTGCAGCGGGGCACGTGGGGCAGGAGGGTGATGAACCGCTGCACCTCGTGTAGGGCGGCATTGGTGTAGGGTAGTGAGCGCTGGTCCTCCGGCCGGGGCGGCCGCCTGGGCCCCAGGACACGGTCCAGCTCCTCCTGCACTCGGCCTGCGGGTGAGCGGGTGGGCACCGGTGTCCCTGGGAGCCTCCCTCCCCGGGCCCCGGGGGACCCATGCCCACTGGGTGCTGGACAGGGGAGTAGCACAGCCAGCACATCTGCCCTGCACACCCGCCCTGCACACCCACCCTGCACACTCGGGTGCTTGCCCATCAGGAGGGCAGCCCACTGCAGCGTGGCGGAGGTGGTCTCCGTGCCAGCCATGACCATGTCCAGGACACAGGCCACCACGTTGTCCTCGGCAAACAAGCCGTTGGGGTCTCTCCCCTGCAAGGTGGGGGTGGGCAGGGCTGAGCAGGAGGGTGTACCCATGGGCCCCCCCACCAGCCCTAAGCTCAAGAAAAAGGGTTAAAGACAAGCTTGGTGGGAAGGACCGAGCCAGACTCCACAGTACACCCACTGGGTCCTGGCTCACCGCATACTCCCACCGAAGCAGGCTCTGAGGAGCCCCATTTCACAGGTGGGGAGACTGAGGCTCAGAGAAGCCCTCAGGGAAGAGGTGGAGGATCCAGTGGGAACTGATGGATCTGTCCTGCAGTGGGCACCCCGGGATGGCCCCAGGCCTCTTAGGGGGTGGGTGGGTCTCATCCACACCTGGCCTTGCTGGATCAGGGCATCCACGTAGCTGCGCACGGGGCCTCCCCTGGGCGAGGCCCCCCGGCGCACGGCCAGAAGGTCCCTTAGGATGGCACGCACCTCCTCAATCTTCCTCAGGACTGGCCGGTGAAGCTGGAGGAGGGCCCCAAGCCAGGGGTACATGTTGAATAGCTGGGGGCAGAGGACAGAACAGTGAGTGGGAGCACAGGCCCATCAGCCCTACCTGCTGAGGGACGATGGACCTATCAATCCTTCAGCAGCTGTGTTCAGGACCGGACTCATGGGGCTGATACTACTCGAGGCCACAAGAGGGCGCTGAGCAAGGGGCCTCAAGGCCCTGCCTTGTGGGACCAGCGGCCTGGACCCCTCTCAGGGCAACAAGAAGGGGCCTGGCGACAGACAGCACCCCAGGGGCTCCTGCAGGTCACAGCAGGCCCTGCAGCCACACCTGCTCCGCACCTCAAGCTGGTGGAAGCGGAGAGCAGTGCCGCTGTGGGGAGTAGAGTCTGCAGCCAGCTGTTAGAAGAGGGGAGAGTTTGCCCCCTTCAGGCTGCGGAGCCCCCACGTCCCCACCCCTGGGGACCCTGAGCAGGCCAGCCGGCCGGCACCAGCTCAGCACTCACTATGCGCCTGGCTGGCTGCCCCTGCAGGCTTGGGACTGAGCCTTTGGGACGGGAGGCTGAGGGACCTGCTGCCACCCCGGAGCTTGGGCCTCTGTCCCTGATGCTCAGCTCGGCCTTCCGAGGGGCCCGGGTCCGCCTGCCCAGAATGGGCAGTCTGTCCGCCTCCCTGGTGGCTCCGTGAGTTACGTCGGGAACGTCCGGACGGCTGGACGCGGATGTTCTGGGTTTGGGGAGAGAATGAAGTGCTCCGCCCCCAGGGCGCGGGGAGGAGCAGGAGCCACGGCTCGGCTGCACCCCTGCAGAGCTAGTGTCTGGGACCCCTGCGTGAGGCGGACGCCAGATCCTGGCCCTGCCCCCACCTCCGAGCAGGTGTGAGGAGCAGAGGGGAGGACCCTGGCCCAAGACTCGTCCCTTCCCAGACTGCACAGGGCCGGACCGGCAGCACGGGCCGCTGCACAGGGAACAGGACCGGTCTGAGGCCTGTGCTGCCTTGTGGGCCAGAGCTCACCCCCGCCGACCAGCGCCGGCCCGCCCCACTTGTCTCAAGCTGGCACCCAGCTCTCTGCCCCCGCCTCAAGGCCAGGGAGCAGCAACCCCTCACCTGCAGCCCGGGGGTCCCCAGGAGGACCATGACCTCGTCGATGAGGCCCAGCAGGGACAGAAACACGGGGTCCTGGTAGTCGAACCGCTGGCCGAAGAGGAGCGTGAAGGTGATGTTGGACGGAGCCCAGCCGAGCAGGGCCAGGGGGAAGGGCCGGCCTGGAGGCACCGGGGACAGGCTTCAGTGGGGAGGACTCCCGGGAGGGAAGGGGGCGTCCCCAGCCCCCACTCACCTCCGTACTGGTCCAGCTGCCCCAGGAGGCAGTTCAGCTCCTGCAGGATCTTGCCGGCCATGGGCCCCCTCCCCACCCCCAGGGTGTGCAGGGTGCGCACAGTGAGCTGGCGGGCCACCTTCCAGGGCTCCCCGGAGGAGAAGAAGACGCCTGCAGCCAACATGGGGGGCCACCCCCGAGATGCAGGCTCAGGCCTCGACCCCTCCTGGGGTGCTGTGGTCCCCTGTGCACCGCCCCCCCTGCCCCATCCCTCCCCAGGGGCAGAGCTGGTGACTGCCCCTCCCTACTGGCCAGGACCCACCCCCCCAACACACACCTACCCCTGCCGCCCTGGATGAGCTGGAAGATGGCAATGGGGGGCCGGTCGGCCAGCTCCTGCCCTGTGCCCACCAGGGCCTCCCTCACCGCCTCGTAGCCACTCAGCACCACTGTCTTCTGGCTTCCCAAGTGGACAGTGAACACCGGCCCATACTGTTCTGAGAGCTGTCGGGACAGGTGGGGCCCCCAGCCCCTCAGGCCGAGCTGTGTGGGTGGGGGGGTCCAGGTGGGAAGGGGGATCCTGTGAGCAGAGGCCTAGGAGCCTCAAAGGGAGAGCAGGGTCTGGGGCAGTGTCCACTGCCCCCCCCCACCGCCCCAGAGGCACCAGGGAGGTGGGGATGTGGCCTGCGGGGGTTCCTTGAGGAAACTCTCCAAGGGCTTCTTGAGCCCCAGGCGGGCCACAGGGCCAGCGGGCTGTGCACTGGGAGCACCAGGCCCCAGCATGGGCAGGAGTGTGGTGCCCACAAGCACTGGGGGGGGGGGGAGGACACGTGTGCCCGTCCACGTCCCCTTCTGTCCGTCCCCACAGCGTCCCTGCTGTCGCCCCCCCACACAGCTTGAGCTCGGCCCTGGGCCCTCTGCTGGCCACCCCGTCCCTGTCCACTCTGCCCCCAGCTTCTGGACTGAGACCCTGGTGCCTGCGGCTGGGGGAAGGACTGCTCCAGTCCAGGCCACTTCGTGGGTGACCCACAGTCCCTCCCCTACCCTCCAGGCCGAAAGAGCCACGGCCAGCCTGTGGGCCCCCAGCTGCCCCTCTGGTGGCCGTGGGTGCACTGGAGCACCTGCCCCCTCCCCTCTGCTGCCCGAAACCTGACCCTTCCTCAAGGTCTCTTCAAACACTGCCTCTTCTAAGAAGCCCTCCTGGCTCTCTGCTCCTTCAGCAGCCCGTCCTCTTCAGTGTGGGGTGGGGTGTCTTTCCGCTCCCCAAGGCAGGGCAGGCACTTACACCCCGGGTCCCTCACAGGCCTGCGCCCAGCTGGACCACAGACCTTTTGACCCACGGGAGTCCTGGAAAATGGGGGCTCTGCCTCCCCAGACACGGTGGCCCCCTCTCACCTCCATCAGCGCCTGCTCCTGCCGGGCAGCCCACAGCAGGTGCAGGTTCCCGATGAGCGGCAGCGGGCGCGGTCCTGGGGGCCAGCGCGGGGCTGCGGTGCGGGCACAGCCACGGAGCAGAACCCAGATTCCCAAGAGCACCAGGAGCCCCAGGAGCAGCGGGGCCATGAGGACCGCGGTGGCGGGGCCCCAGCTCCCTGCCTGGGCCCACGGTCCCGCCCTGTGCCTTGTGGGCCTCTGGGAGGGCGTGCCGGCACCCCACCCACCCCACCACCCCGAGAATGTGGAACAAGCAGTTTGCAGGGGACAGCCTGGCGGCTTAAAGCGACAGGCGTGCGTGGAATGTGGGGTCGAGTCTGTGCAGGGAGCAGCCGGGTGCCGCCTGGGGGCAGGTGTCCCCACCCTGTGTTGGGGTTCCCAAACCGGGACTCCCAGGGCTTGGGGACCCTGCCCGGGTTCCGAAGGGAGCGGTCTGCCCTCCCCACACTCGGAGCCGCCCTCCTTCGGGGCCCCACAGGTGCGAGGCATGTGGGCCTTTCCCAAACCCACCACCCAGTGTCCACCCACCTCCTGTCTGAGGGGCCAGTGGGGGGTACCAGTTGTGCAGCCCCCAGGGCTGTCCCTCAGGGGTCTGCACAGCAGACGCCTCAAATCCCAGGGCCTTCAGCAGGCGCCAGCCACATCCCCCACCAGGCTGCCTAGGCCCTGACGCGAGCTCTCCCTGAGCAACAGTCTGCTCCCCGCAGCTTTGAGAGCCGTCACCTGGGGCAGGAGGCACCGGGCTGCACCGGGACAGGGTGGGGCTGACAGCAGAGGGGCCCACCCTGCAGCCAGGGCCGCTGGTGACAGGTGGCTGGGTTTACGAGCCGTCGTCTGTCTGGGTCTGGGCCACACTCTTGTCCCCTCAACCCTGGCGGCCCAGCTGGGAGGAGAAGAGGCCCCACTTTGGCAAAGAGCTGGGAGGGAATGGGGAGGCTGCTGGCCCTAGAGGCAGCTGGGCTTCAAGCCGCCTGTGCCGACAGGAGGCGGCTGGACCCGCACAGGCAGGGCGGCCACAGCGGGGCCTGCACCTGGGGCGCCGCCCATGCCCCCCCTGCAGAAAGTCCAGGGACTAAGGGGCCTCACCCACACCCAGCCTCGGCTTTTCCAGCTCCAGGGGCGAGGCGCTCACTACCTGTCAAGCAGCCTGTGCCATTGCACAGTTGTAGGGGTAGAGGGCGCTGGCTGGCTGTAGGAGTTACAGGTCCTTCTGGCCCAGCGCCACTACCGGGGCTGCTGACACCCTGCTGGCTGGGGGTCCTGTCTGCCCAGGGAGCCCACTCTACTCGGCATTGCCCACTGAGTGCCCTTGTGTGCCAGGCTTGGCCAGGAGATGGCCGGGGAAATGGGTGGTGGGGGCGGTCCCGAGGGCGCCCCACGGTCCCATGGGGGCAGTGGGAGCGGAGAGGGCCGGGGGTCTGTGGAGGGTTGGGCCCGGAACGGGTCCCAGGTTCTCCCAGAGGGGTGACCTGCGAGAAGCCTGGAGGCATGAGGAGCAGGGCCAGGGTTGCTGGGCAGGGGCAGCCTGAGCCCAGAGCTCGGTGGGCACCTCAGGGACGGGGGTGGGTGCTGCCGGCAGGGAACTCCACGTCCTGGGCAGGGGCTCGGCCCCCCCATAGCATCCTCCAGGAAGGTGCTGGGCCGTGCCGGGCTCGAGGTCTAGGCCTTGGTGCGGGCACAGGGCCCCTCTGGGACACCTATGCAGGAACGATCCTGCCCAGCCGGTTTCTGGTGCCACCTGGCTTGACAGAGCCCCACTCGTTGGGCATCGCACCTGCAGGCGATGTCACTCCTACGACAGCTGAGCCGGGCGGCCCCTGGTTGTGGGGGAGGAAGCAGGGTCTCCGTGGAGAGAAGTGGGGGCACTGACAGGTTAGGGGGACCAGGGGGGTCCCCAAAGTGCCCACCACAGGCCTTGCCTCAGTACTGACCACTTCAATGGGCGTGGCCCTGCGAGCGAGGCCTTGGGAGGCAGCAGACTCGACCTGGGACCTGTGGGCCTTGGAGTCACGCAGCCTTGTCACCTCAGGGGCCCCTGTGCCAGCCCAGACCCCAGGCTGGGGAAGTGGGTGGGACCAGGGAGCTGGGAGCACCTGCTTCAAAGGGGGTACGCCAGACCACAGACGCCCAGGGGGGGTGACCTGCCCAGGCGGACGATGACAGAGAAGCCAGGTGCGTGAAATGCAGGGAGAGGGTTCGACAGGGTCAGGGCGGGCGGCATCTGGAGTCGAGGAACAGCCGGACAAAGGTTCTCTGAGGTCCTGTGCATGGGACAGTGACCTCGCTCCCGACCGCTCACTTTCACACCAGCCCAAACGTGGAGGCAAGCGCGACATGGAAGGTGTGCTCTCAGATGCAGCACCCACTTGTAAAAACGGGGCAACCCGGCCCTGGCTGGCATAGCTCAGTGGATTGAGCGCGGGCCTGCGAACCAGACAATCGCGGTTGGATTCCCAGTCAGGGCACATACTGGGGTTGCAGGCCGGTTCCCTGCAGACCAGTTCCCAGCAGGGGACGCACGAAAGGCAACCATACATTGATGTTTCTCTCCCTCTCTCCTTCCCTTCCTCTCTCAAAGATAAATAAATAAAATCTTAAAAATATATATTAAAAAAACAAAAACAAAAACGGGGCAACCCGGTGAACAGGCACCTGGCCTGTCCTCCTGCCACACCGCGGGGCAATCGCAGGCGAGTCTCACCCACTCATCCCGCAAACCACGATGGTCGAAGGAAAACACTCGCAACCTCGGTCACATTCATGTCTGCTGTTCACATTTTTTTTTTTAAGATTTTTAAATTTATTTTTAGAATAAGGGGAAGGGAGGGAGAGAAACCTCAGTGTGTGGTTGCCTCTCGCACGCCCCCTACTGGGGACCTGGCCCACAAGCCAGGCTGGTGTCCTGAAGGGGAATCGAACCCTTTGGTTGGCAGGCTGGTGCTCCACCCACCGAGCCACCCCAGCCGACCCCCAAATTTTGTATTTCTATCCACTGTGCTGTCTAGAGAGGTTGAGGTGAAAAGCGGGGAAGCAAAATGAATGCTGATCTAAGGTAGTGATTTTCAAGCAGGGAGACCCCCGACCCTGGGGTCATGTGGTGACGATAGAGAAGTCTGTGGGTGTCCCCTCTGGGGATGTGGGTGCTGCTGCGTCCAGTGGGTGGCCAACGTCCCCCTCTGCACAGGGCGGTCCCCGCACAGAGCCACCGAGGCGCAGAGACCTGATGTAAACGTCTTCATTTCTTCACTTGGCTCCAGCTGAGTAATGAACTGTGGGTTTTCAGTCCCGACCACAGGAAACTCGTTAAGACGCTGCTTTGAACTTTACAATGTGGACAGTAATTTTTTTCTGTCTCCAGAGTGCTTTGTGCCCTGAAACGAAGGGTCACACGCAGACGGCAGCCCATTGGTCTGCGGCAGGATGAGGCCAAGGTGCGCGGGGGCGCAGGAAAGGAGACAGCCCGGAGCGGGTTTTGTTCTAACTGCGCCGGCTTCCCTACGCCTCGCGCTCTCGTGGGAACGCCAGCCCTCCCCTGGGGAAGGAGAGCTGGCGGTGACCAACCCCGGTCACGTTTCTCAGGGAATCTGCATGTACTGTCGCAACGGTGCGTCTTGGACAAAAGGGAGAGTGTGAATGGGCCGAGTCTGACTCAGGGACTCGGCCCCTGCAAGGCACGAAAGCAAAGGCGAAGGATGCTGTAAAATAAATCCCTAGAAGGAGGATCCCCGAGTCAAGGGGTTGCAGCTTGTTAGATTCCAGCAGCTGATCCACAGTGACAGGCAAGGTCCCGGTCCCCATCGACCCACCCAGAGGGCATCAGGAGGTGCCCCCACCTCCAGACCTGACCCCCAACTCTCGGTGCCCAGCCTGTCCGCTGCTCCTGCATTTCTCCATGGGCAGGGGGGATGGGGTGGCCTGAGGCTGAGGCCAAGCAGCCCCAGCTGCTGCTGGATGGGCCGTCTCCCCAAGGCCGGCCCCCACTGTAATGTCATGGGTGAGGCAAGTGAGGCCCCCCACTGGGTGTGGGAGGTAAGGCACCCCGACACCAGCTCCTCCACAGAGACTTGGCCTCTCTGCGTCTGTGCGTGTAAATGAGGAGAATGGTAGACACCAAGGGGTCCGTTCTTCCAGGAGCACCAGCTGGACTCCCACCCCATGCCAGTCCCTGTTCTGAACCCCAGGATCCAAGGGAAGCAGCCTAGCACGCAAGAGGGCTCCCCAAAACGTCAGTTCCTCCCCCACTTTTCCTATCTGTGCGGCTAAAATCCCCCACCCCCATCTCCACCCTAGCTGAACGAGCAGTAATCATTCTCTAGGAACCACAGACTCCATTAAAAGCTGGCCGCCAGCTCGGGGTCAGTGATCCCCCAGGGCCACGAGGCCAGCGGCTGTGGACAGCCTGGCGGGAGGGGCGGTCCCGTTCTCAGCTAAGTGGTTCGATCCAGCGGAGTGGAAAGTGCTGCTTGCTGTTGATAAGGCCGCTATTGTCGGCAGCCCTGGAGTCTGTCAATTAGTAACCTGTGTGGCCCTGGCTCTGGTGTGTACAACAGTGGTTTATGAGACAAGAACAAGGTGCGATTTCTCTTCCGTAGTTGTCAGGGGGCCCAGACCAGCTGACTGGGTGGGTCTCCAGCAGCCCGGGGGGGGGGGGGGGCTGTCCCTGTGGACCCACTGCCAACGCCCAGCAACACCAGGTGCCCACTCTGTGCTGTCCTGGACACAGAGTGGGCACAGCCTTGGGAACCCACCCAGCAGTTGTCACTGTGGACAGGACCCAGCAAGGTGTGGGGAGCCTCCTGGAGTGTAGGGCACCCCAAGCCAGGCCCTGGGCTGGGGCAGTTTCGGCCTGTTGGCCAGCACCTCCCTGGAAGCCCCTTTGTGTCTGGAGTAGGCTTCTCCTCCTGACCTTAGAAGGAGTGGAAGTGCTAGGTCACGGACGGGACCTGGGGGGCTGGCCAGCGAGCTCTGTGACCCTGAGGACCCTGCCTGCCTATCCAAGGGCCTGGCGCCGCCTGGTGCCCAGTGAGTGGTCATCAGGTGGACGAAGCAGACAGAGCTCCTGGCAGAACTACAGGGGGCAGACAGCTGCGAGGAGACAGTGACCTACCTCCCCGTTGTCTGGACAAAGAGGGGTGGCACAGAGTGGGGGTGCACAGAGTTCAGGGCCTGGGGAGAGCTGGGGTCTCCACTGAGCCCTCCCACTGTTGTTACCGCCACCGCCAAAAAAAAAAAAAAAAAAGGAGCGAGCAGCAGGAGCTGGCCTCTTTGTGATGCTCATGTCCCTACAAACTTCCCAGTGTCTCAGAAACAGGGTTGTGGCAGGAGCAATTAACTACAGTGAGGTGATTAGGGCGGGCCCTAAGCCAATGATTGGCCGGGAAATCTGGAAACAGATATGTGCATGGGGAAGCCGGGTGAGGGTAGAGGCAGAGCTGAGGGGATGGGTCTACAACCCAAAAAATGCCAAGGGATGCCTGCAAGCCCCAGAGAAGAGGGGAGTCCTGGGGCAGGAGGATCCAGCCCTGCTGGCACCTTGATCTTGGACTTCAGCCTCCTGTCGTCTTGAGCCATCCCAGGAAGCCCATCCATGCTCCCAAGAGCATGGCCCTGGGGCCCAGACGCGGGGATCACAGAACCCAGCAGAGGCTGCCAAGGACCCGCCTGTCGCTGCCCTGCGACTTATTGTGCACTGAAGCTGTGTGTCCTCGGGCAAGTTGCTGAACCTCTCTGAGCTTCCGTATCCTTGGCGGTGGGGTTGCTGTGAGGGTCCGCAGGGCTGGAACTGGAGAGGGCAGAGGGAGCGCGATCCCACGCGGGGTCAGGTCCTTTCAGAGCCTCTGGGGAAGGGGAAGGGGCCGTTTGGGAGAGGGCGTGGCCTCGCGGCAACGGCGGCTCGACGTGCTCGGCGCTCTCTCCGGGCCTGCTCGGCGCTCGGCCGCCCGGCCTGCGTAGAGCGCGTATCGCTTTCCGAGGCTTGGGGGCAGTTACCATCATGTCTACCGCCATGAACTTCGGGACCAAGAGCTTCCAGCCGCGACCCCCGGACAAGGGCAGCTTCCCGCTGGACCACTTCGGTGAGCGGCCGGAGGTCCCAGAACGCGAGGGCTGCCCTGTCGGCGAGTCTCGCCAGAAGTCCAGGACGTAAATCCCTCCTCCGGGGTTGAGTGTGCGGTTTGTTCCGCTGGAGCCGGACTGCCCTTGGCCATAGCGCTTTATGGAGGACCTCCCAACGGGCCCGCTGGGCCGGCCGTTCCGGTGTAGTGCGCGTGTCCAGAGGGGCGGCGGTGCCCCGGGGGTCCTCTGGGAGCGCGTCCGGCGCCGGCTTTGGGGACAAGTGCTGTATTCTCTTCCGCCCTAGGTGAATGCACGCGCTTCAAGGAGAAGTTCCTGAAGTGTCTCCGTGAAAACAATTTCGAAAACGGTTTGTGCAGATACGAATCAAAAGAGTACTTGGAATGCAGGATGGAGAGGCAAGTGTCGTTGACGCCCCGCCCCGGCTCCCCCCGTTCCCCGGTCCCCGCCCGGACGCTTCTTTCCCGCGGCCGGGATCGCGCTCCCTCGGGCTGCCTTTTTCCCAGCCTTGTCCCTCTAGCTTTGAGTGCGGGGGGCGCCGTCATCAGGGTGCAGAGCGACAAATGGGCGGGTGGCAGTGGAGACCACGCAGATGTGCGCTGCGCGTTTGGTCACCTGGCGTATGCTGGGAGCACAAGAGGCTCCTTAACAAATAGCAAAAGGCGAAGGATACGCTGCACCCCATTTCTGAAACAGCGCAGAGTCGCAGTGAGGACTGTGCTGACCTTTCCCAGGGATCTGTGGCTACCCTTAGGGAGCAGCAGGGGTGGGACTGTCCCTGAGTGGTACGCAGGGACCCGGCCCGACGGCAGCCTTGTCCCCCGGGTGGACACCAGCCAGTCCGTTCGGAGCCCCATGTCCGTATCCCCAGGACAGGCTCAGTGAGAGGGTTTCCCCAAGGCACGATGTTTTTTTGCTCTGCTGGCCGTTGGTGTACTAGGGCTCTTGGGGACGTTGGGGTTTTGAGGGTGCATTCCCTGGTCCCCCCTCTAAACTGCTGAAGCTGGGACCCCAGTCCTGTGGCGCTGCTCGGGGCAGGCTGGTGGCCAGCTAGCAGCCTGGATGGCACTCCTCACTCTCCTCACTAGCCCCTTGATACTTGTCTGTCTGTCTGTCTGTCTTCTAGGCAACTGATGGTACAAGAGCCCCTGGAAAAACTGGGGTTTGGAGACTTGATGGATGGAAAAGCGGGCAAGTGATAAATTTCAGTGGGAGGATCGCCGGCTGGTCATCTGGCACAGAGTGGTAGCCCTCGCCTGTCACCCTGATGTCGATCCCAAGGTGGCGTGACTGAGAAAGGGGTGTCCGGGCACCCCTGAAGCACCGTGATGGGCTCAGCCCATGGCAGGGAAGGGGCTCAACCTCAGAGCCTGCCAGGTTCCTTGGGAATTTTTCTTCCATTTAGACTCTCCTCTCCCCCAAGAGTGTCCAGTTCTGTCTTTAAAGGCCTGTGTGATGGAGTTCCTGGGAGGCCCATGTGGGCTGAGGGGGTCTCACCAGTGCAGCCCTCCCCCGGGGCCCCGGTGTGGAGACTCCATCTCAGGGCACCAACGTGTGAATGTGGTCGTGCTGCATGTGTGTGAATTTCAGAAAACTGTCCCTAGCAAAGTGGTTTCTTTTTTTTAATAAAAATGAAAAGGCAGAATCCAGGAATATCTGTAGTATGTTAGAAAGAGATGTAAAAAACTAGGTGTACCTGTGTATTTGAACAAAAAAGAAATTCAGGAAAAAGACAGGCTAGAAACTAATGAGAATGGTCACCATCCCGTAGTTTAGTTCTGACCGAACCACATTCAGCTTCCATGCACTCAGAGATGGGCCAGGCCATGGCGGGCCCCAAGCGAGTGCCGGCCCAGGGCGCCTGTGTTGCCTGTGACCACTGGGCGGGGCTGGAGGCAGAGGGAATGGTGGTGTCACTAAAGCAACAGCCAGAAAAGCAGGGTTCCATCTCCAGGAGTCAGTTTGCTGTTCGAGTGGAGAGTTCCGGAACTGTGGTCCCAGGGCGAAAAGACTAGTAATGCAGTAGGTGAGAGCCAGGCGTGTCAGAGTCCTGGTTTGCTGGCACACACACTTGCTAGATACAGAAACAGGCATGTGTGCATGCACATGCATGTGTATACATGTGCTGTGTGTCGTGTGTGCCTGTGTGCCAACATTATAGCTCTGAGCACGGAGGGGCCTGGAAGCAGCCGGGCCCAGCGGCGAGTTGCAGCGCCCTGGACAGGACTCCTTGAAGCGGTGCCGGCTGCAGGCCCGGAAAGTGCGTGAGGATCGTGGACCATCTGGTGTCAGAAGGGAGGAGCTGCTGAAGAAACGATGGGGGTCGTCCAAGGACTCAGGAGGCCACGCGGAGAGCGGTGGTCGAGGGCGGGGCCTGGTTTGAGCAACAACATTGATACTGTAGTGGGTTGTGGTCCTGGCTGGTGTGGTTCAGTGGATTAAGCACTGGCCTGTGAACTAAAGGGTTGCTGGTTCAATTCCCAGTCAGGGCACAGGCCTGGGTTGCTGGCCAGGTCGTGAGAGGCAACCACACACTGATGTTTCTGTCCTTCTCTTTCTCCCTTCCCCTGTTTGTAAAAATAAATGAATAAGATTTTTAAAAAGAAACCATAGCTGAAAACTCGGATGGGATGGAACACATCAACACGAGCACCCAAGTTGTTCAGTTCCTCCAGGTCAGATGAACTGGGGGAGACTCCTGCGGGACACCTCACCCTACGACTCCCAAGGCCTGACGTGAAGAGCCGGGAAAGCAGTGTGAGGAGCAACACCCCACCAGAGGGCTCTCACGAAGATAGAAGGAGGATTTCCCACCAGGGACTCAGGCCCAGAGGGTGCTGGGCTGACATGTCCGAGGTGTCAGCTCCCACACTGCACACGGTAGCTGAGACGAGGTGGCCCAGCGGTGCCCAGTCAGCAGCAGACAGTGCCTCAGTCCCACTAGACAGCGAGCTCCGGAGAAGGGTGGGGTCGTGGCTGCACATCACCGTTGTCAGGGGTCCGACCAGCCACCAAGAAGGGCAGGGCAGGAAGGGTTATGTCCTGTGCATGTCACACCTGTGTTACCTGTCTTCCCAGAGGCCGACCTGCCTTGCCTCCCACCCCATGCTGAACCACCACTCTCAACGCCCCCCCTTCCCCTCATCCCTGTCCACCTCCAGCCCCTCACCCTGTCAACACGCTGCCTCTTTCACCTGCCTGCCTGGTGCCCTGGATGTGGGACAAGGGCCATTGTGGTCCTGTCCCAGCGACCTTCCCAGCCCCTTCGACACCCTGGCACACGGAAATGCTCCATCAGGGTTTGCCGATGGTGAGAGCTGTGTGGAGCGGTGAACGGGCCTTGCAGTCTGCCCCTGTAGAGTGCGACACAGACGCGTTAGGGATGCTCACGAGGCCACACCACCCTCCGCCCATCCAACTCCTGGACATTCTCATCCGCCCAGGAAGAAAGCCCCGCCCACTAACAGTCACGCCCCCTCTGTCCTCAGGCCCTTGCCCTTCTGTCTCCGCGGTTCCCGTAAATGCAATCACCCAGGTGCTGCCTTTGCGACTGGTCCCTTTCCCTAGGTGCGGCCTCTTTAGAGGTCACCCGTGGAATGTCCACCCACACTTTACCGCTCCTCACTCTTCCCACCTGACCATTTGGGTCCGCACAGCACCCCTTACCCGAGTCAGCTCAGATCCACCTGCTTCCTCGGTGTTCCCCACTCGAAGCATCCGTCTGCTCTGGACCGTGTGGGGGTCTTGGAAAGAGGCGCCTGGCCCTGCTGGTGGACTCTCTCAGCAACCCGTGGGGACCAAAGCCCTCACTCACCCTCCGAGTCTCCCATCCCTGGCTTCCCTGATCGAGGCAAGCAGGTTCCAACCTCCTGCCCACAGGCCTGGAGGCCCGTGCGGCCCAGCTCACTTCTGCCGCCAAGTGGCTAGAGGTGGGCATAACACCCGCTCCCGCCTGGCGTGTGGCCCCGGGCCACCGCCTGCTTCCTGCCACATGTGGTGAACCCGCTTTCACTGAGGGTGGTCCGAAGCCCAGAGCCCGGCTCCCTAGGGACCTGGTCCTGGGACATGCCCCTGGGTGTTTGAAAATGCCCCTGCCAGGGCCGCATTGCCATCGGCCCAGTGGGAATCCCAGGCCTTGTGTTTTCCCCACCTCGGCGGGCTGAGAGCCACCGCTGAGCTGCCAGCCCCTGGGGTGGGGCCACGAGTCCTGTTGTCCTTGTCATCCCCTGCGGCGCGGGCCCCCTGCATGCGCTCCACAACTCAGAAAGCGCACGCGCATCCATGGGAGGAGCGAAGGGCTGAATACTGTAGAGATCTCTATGAAACAGGTGTCTGGATGGAGAGGAAACCACCCCACACTCGGGAAGTGGCCACGGGCAACCGGCCGCTTTCCGCCTCCCATCTCCCGGGATGGACCTGCCCACGGGGCATTTCCCGTGGACCCAACCACCCACGGGCGTCCTTCTCTCGCCCAGACTGAAGCTTCCTGGGCTCCTCCACGCAGTCGCCTGCCAGCACCTCAGTCCCTTCAGTGGGCGGCCGGGCTCGTCCCTGCGTCTGTGACCCACGTAGGCATCTGGGAGGTCAGCTCGCAGCATTCGCACGCAGGGCCAGGAGTTCGTTTCTCATGGATCTGACGGGGCACGTCTTGCTCATTCCCGGGGTCCCCGATTGTGCCTGAGATGGCTTCTGTGACAGGAAGGATGGCCGTCTGTGACGCGTGGGAAGATCCAGAGTTGGCCTCAAATATGTAGTCCCAAGTGAGGCCTCAGCCCCTCTTTTCACACAGCTCTGTTTGCTCGGAGCTTCTCCAGTTGCCTCCACTTTAGCCCCCAAGCCCCTGCTCTTGCCCAGGATGCCCCTCGGGAGGGCTGAGCACCCACTTGTCCCATGGACGTTGCCTCCTCCTGTCGCTGCAACCGCTTCGTCCCGGCCCAGCCTTGAGCTGCGGATCGAGTCTTCTGGGTGAGCCCGTGGACATTCCAACATCGCCACCACCCCCCTCAGCCTGTGAGGAAGGGGCCCGCAGGCTGCCGCCTACAGGGAGGTCACAGGGAGGCTGAGGGACATTTTCTGGGACCCTGACCCTTTCGCAGGATAAAGAAAGTATGCACCCCCATTTCCTCCCACCCAGGAGCCTGTAGGTGCCGGCCCCCGGAACACGAGCTGGTGAAAGCTGAACTGTGCCATCGTAAACATACAGCTCAGAGCACCCAGTGATCCCACTGCCATCACAGCAAGCCCCTAAAGTCCCCCAAGGCTCCCCCAGGGCCCTGTCCAGCCCAGTGGGAGCCATGGTTCTGCAGCCAGTGGCGTCTGTGGGTGCGGCCAGCTTGCACAGATGCGCAGAGCACAGGGCCCTGGATCGGGCCTGCCCCTCCGCACGGGGCCCCACAAACAGCAGCCTCCTCAGGGGCTTCCGAGACCCCGTCCCCGTTCCTCAGTGGAAGCAATGTCTTCAGGAGCGTGTGGCCCTCACAGAGCTGGGCCTCGTGGTCCTGCCTGTCGGGTTGGTTTCCTCACGGCCCCTTCACCTCTCAGGGTGCGATTCCTTCCTCGCAAATCAACCTCCCAAAAGCAAGGCGCCCAAATGCCCAAGGAAGCCGAAAATCTGTTTTTCTTGCCGACCTTTCATGAATGTAATGTAACACCAGGACAAACTCATAGAAAGACCATGTACTCTAGTGGTCCCTCGATGAATAGAGCCCAGCAGAAGAGACAGGAGAACGGCTCTTTAACCAGAGGAAAAGGAAAATAAAGTAGATGTAAGCTACATTCTGTGGCTACGTCATTTTAAAGAGAAGTAACAAGGATATTAACTTCCATAACTTTTAATATATTCGGGGAGAGATTATTTAATTGCCGCTCAATAGCAGGTGATAAGTTTAGGGAGATTGGGATTAAGTTAGTTTCTTAACAAAGGTAAACAGCCCTGACCGGTGAGGCTCGGTGGGTTGGGTGTCATTCCAAAAAGTGGAAGGTCGCAGGTTTGATTCTCGGGCAGGGCATATGTCTGGGTTGTGGGTTCAGACACCCCAGTGTCGAGGCCCATGTGAGAGGCAACTGATATCTCGCTTTCTCTCCCCCTCCCTTCCCCTCGCTCTAAAAATAAATAAATAAATAAAGCATTACAAAACAGAAAGACACAAGTTTCACTTTATAGGGTTTTTAAGACTCGGGACATGTACAAAGTCATCTTTCCGGGTCACTGCCACAGACGTCAGCTGGGCAAAGGTCCCTTCATCTGAAAGCTGCACCGCATTACCTCGAAGTCAGAGCACAGCCTTCTGGGTCCCACGCGCTTGCGTCGGGCCCCTGCCGGGGTCTGGTCGGCTTCTGTTTCCTCGCGCTGGGGGGCTGCTTCAGAGGGCAGGCGGGAGGGCTCCCCTTGGCTCCCCCGGGGCCCTGTCGGGGCCCTGTCGGGCCCGCTGCTGGGCCCCGGAGCAGCGGTCTCCGCCGAGCACAGCTGCGGGCTGGGCGATGCTGAGTCTCTGGGCACCTCCCTGGTCCCGCGGAGCCCCGGCTGGGCGCGCGGGGCTGGCGCCAGCGGGTGGCGCTGTTCGCCAGCCGTTGGCCTCGGCCACCGAGCCGCCGCCCGCCCGCCCTCCTCCCCTGCCGCTAGTCTTCTCGGATTTTTATGTCTAAAAATCACATCGTTATGGGTGAGCATACAATTCAGAAATTTCTTCCAGGACTGGACGGGAGGTGAGGAGACCATTTGGAACTCCTACTCGTCGGTGGTTTCCTTGATCCGTAGGTTGGAAATGCACAGACCGAGCGTCCAGAGCAGATTCCCGGGACACGTCCTCAGAGGTGCGGGCTCCCGGAGGAAGCGCGGCGGCAGCGCCTCCGCCCGGAGGCCAGCGGGGTGAGTGGGGAGGGGCGCACGCCTCTCGCTGCACACTGGAGCCTCGCGGACGGATGGCGGAGTTCACATCTCATAGGAGTAGGGTGCCAGCCTACAGCAGTGGCTTCACTTCAAATGAATTTGGGGGAAGAAATTTGACATTCAGTCACTGCCTAGACTCCAGGCCCTAACGTGGACTCGCCCCTGCACAGAAATCCCTGACAAGGTGTCAGTGAGACGCACAAGCAGCCTGGCTCCTCCTGCAGCCTGTGACCTGCGGCCCTTTTGGATGGGGTCAGAGACCCCAAGTGCCCATAGGAAAACCTCACCCCCAAAGAAGGGCTACCAGACCCCTTTGGACTGGGCACCAGGTCAGCACGGCTGTGCAGGGCAGCGTCGCCCCATCGTCTGGCTGGACGGCTCGCTGTCAGAGGCTCCGACGCCTGTCGGGACACCCTGTCAGGACACCACGCAGCTCTGCTCTTTGTTGGAGGGGCGGGTTTCTAGTGTTAGAAACGCACTCGGGTGCAATGACTTCTAACCCACACTGACACGCACCCCGAGGAGGGCAGGTACAGGAGTACAGAAACCCTTGTTGAGTGGGAGGGGCAGGGTGCCCACGCATGTTCATGGCGGAGCAGCCGCTTCTTGGGCCTGACCCCCTGGGAGGGACATCTGCCATGAGGCGGAAGTGCAGGCTGGACGTCCAAGTCCAGAGAGGCCAGCAACGTATTTATTGTTACGAAGGAAAAATAAACCA